TCAAATTGACTTCCAGCCCAGCTGTGCTCACTGTGTCGTCCTGCAGGTCAGCTGAGAGGTGGTTTTTGTTGTGTTTATTTCTCTGCCTGCAAGATGTTTTAAAGAGAAATAAATCTGCATGAAGATGAGGAAGAATACATCCCAACCTCTTTGGGGAAGGCACGTATAAATACAATAGATATCTAAACTCCCAGCAGAACTCTGAGCTTCTGTTGTTTCATGTTTTATCCCAAATGAAACAGATTTAAATATCTACTTTCGCAGATACAAACGAAGACTTCCTCATGCTGCTTTTTTACTTGAACCAAAAATGTTAAATCTTTAGCAAAACATTCACAAACCAAAGAATTTAATTAAATAGCTGGAGTTGAAAAATGTAATCAGAAGTAAATTTTCAGCAGTGTATCAATACAGAATTAGTGCAACGTTGAGTGTTTTCTCATTTATCTGGGCTATTTTAAACAGCTGTGAGGCTTAGAAAGTGTAACATAACAGTTCGCCTCACTTAGAGCAAGTTATAAAGCATCACTAGATTTATTCCTTGTTTTATAATTTATGCAAAACAAGCATTATTTTTTTGTTGTGATGCTTCATAGTGGTAAAAGAAGTCTGTTGTATTTTCTAAACTGGTGTAAATCTGGATGTTAGTGCCATTGTGTCGTTCACTTTAATGCCCTTTATTCCAGTGTTTTGTCTCAGATCCGCCCATGTCAGCCAAATGGTAACAAATTGATGTTTGCTGTTAATGTTTCTGCACTAAGTGACTTTATATTAAATCTGGATGTGCCTAATTTTATATCAAGTTTTTGTTTTGCAATGATTCACCATCACTAAGGAAAGGCTGTATTATCATGTTGTTGCATATAGTTTTTTTTGTTTGTATGAGTTCTTTCTATCCTCCATAATGTCAAATATTTCACTAATCAGTTCATTAATAAATGTATTTGCTCCTGTTTTTGTTTGGGTCTGCTGGAATCCTTTAACCTACATTCGGTAGACAGACTGATGCCGTGCTGACGTAGAAGTCTCGTTTCCAGTGGCTGACGTAAAACCCGGTGGAGTTAATCCACCCACCAACAGCTGGTTTGGAGTCACGTGCACATGGCTGAATGCCCCGTCGTTTGGGAGACAGTTCTTGTTCCTGGTGCAACAGTCCACACCAGCAGGCTTTGTAATCCTCTCATTAATGAGTGAGTAACTGCTGCAGAGAGGGAGGATGTTTTCTCCTCAATAGGGTGACTAAGTCAGGAGTTGGTGGTTTAATGGACAAGTTCAAAGCTAGTGACTCTGTCAGAATAAGTGGTAAAATGACACGAGCCTGGTGGATTTCTGTCATTAAAGTTAGAATTGGTGATGAGTTGAACCAGAATTAAGTCTTTTGTGTGAAATTTTTACAATAAGTCACAACACGAAATCTTAATCTGTAGAACTATCTGAATGAAGTTGTGTGCACTCGGTTCTGTTTAGATCTGATTATTTCAATAAAAACGTCCTGTGGAGCAGTTAAATGGGTGTTAGCAGCTCATCTGCTCTTTAATCACGGAGGCATTAAAGGATCATTTCCATGTAACATGGAGTTTATTATTCCGCGGAGAAAACAGAAAATATTCCAGATCACGTTGCATCCTGTGTCCCCAACATCAGATCAGAGATAAAACCAACAGCTGCAGACTTCACAGACCTTATTAGCATCATGTTAGCATACGTGTTTTCAATGTTGAAAAAGCACAATTTAAGAACAAAGTTCCTAAAACTGATAGAAACAAGCAAATTTTGTCAAATAAATAAAATACACTTAAGGGGGAAATATTTGGTTCAGCTAGCTTTAGCGTTGCACCTAGCTGGTCAGTGATCAGCTATGACTAACAGACAAGTCTGACCTTTAACAAAAATCTGCATAGTTTGCTAATTAGAGCACATGTGTTTTGGTTGTGTCCATATTTGGAAGATTAAATGCAAAAGAGGTTTAAAGACTTGAGATACATTTGTTTATGGTAAAAAAAACAATTTTGGTTAATCAAACCAGAAGGGGCTGCATGGTGGAGCGGTTGGTAGCCTTGCAGCAAGAAGGTTGCAGGTTCAAATCCTGCCTGGAGTTACGGCGTTCTCGTGCATGTTAGGTTGACTGATGATTCGAAACCACCCTCTTGGTGTGAGTGAGGCCCGTCCAGAGTGTCCACACCACTCCGACCACACATGAAGAATCAGCATTTATTCTATTGTGATGCTGCGGGTGTGCTGGCATCACCTAGCATCACCATGGTAACTGCATCCTTATTCAGACTGTGTTTATATCTGGTTTGTGACCTTGGCGAGGAACAAGCTGCACATATTAACACCGTCAATCAAAGAGTTGGCGCAGTTTTATAAGACAAGCTTGTTTGCTCTGGCACACATCTGGGGAGAAGCATCTCTGGCTAACGGTGGCTTCAATATTTGTAATGTCAGTGCTTACTTGAGAGTGAACTTTGACCCCTTCCGTTCATGTGGATCAGAGACTGTTACAAGCAGATTCAGTGGTTGTATTTAGGGACTTTTACCCAAAGTAGTAAAATTAAAACTTGTGGTCAAACATGAACTTTGAGCCAGGAAGAATCTGAGACGAGTTCAAACAAAAGTGATTGTCATAGAAAACAGCACAAAAGAACCACCTGTACCTTTGAACAACCAGTGCATTTTATTATCCATCACAGTACAAAAATAAATTAAAAGTAAACCGAAACGTACTTAAAAGGTGAAATTACAGCAGGAACGGTTCAGTCTTTTAGAAAAGAACGCCTTTATCCACCCTCCTGAACTCCAGCGTGTTTACTCCTGTTTCCTATCGTTAAATCAAAACTACACGTTCCCCATCACAAATAAAATGCTTCCATTCACACACACACACACACACCTTCTTCCATTCACACACATGCATCAGCCCACTGAGCGCCACTCTGTGAAGTTTTTAATCACTGTTTTCTTTTATCTACAAAGTACGCAACAAGATACAGAAAAGAATCAGACCGAATTCTTCAGCTTGAGTCTTTTTTCATCTTTTATAAGCTTATAAACAACAACTTGATGATGCAAGTGAAGAAACATGGCACATTTCAGGCTGAGTCAAGGTAAATGGACAGAGAAATAGTCTGGGTTTCTGTTTGAAGTCTTTACTCTCCTGTTTGTCTTCAAAAACTCATCCAGCTATGTCTCCCTTGATTTGCATTGGGGGGGGGGGGGGGGGCAGCAAACAGGTCCTTCAATCTTTGAGGGAAACTTTAAAATACAGAAGCCTTTTTTTAGGCACCCATTCATAAAGTTTTATAGATTTTCAAAGTGAAGAACAGAAGAGTGGCCACACATGGACACACTTGCACCTTCCTATCCAAAGTGTGAGGAGCTGCAGATATGATCTCCTCTGTGTGCATTTACCCGCTGCTGTGTCACCTTGACCTGGCAACATTTCTCACACTCATTTTCTACACTGTTTCACACAAAGATGATTTTCAAACCTCCATTTTGAGCCATTTATCCACCTGGAAATGGGTTTCTGTCTCTGATATGTGAGACTGCAGGTTGGGTTTGCTTCTAGATCAGAAATAAAAATATTTTCAGGTCATTACTTAAAAGCTCTGAACTGCATTGTTTCTGGATGTCCTCGAGGCTGCCACGTTGGTGATGGTCAGATTTAACTGTGGTTTAAGTTTAAGGGCCTTGTCATGAGCTATTCACTGGTAATCCCCGTAACATTCACTTGCACAAACCAGATAAATCTTCATTCCCACCATTGATAACCGTCAGCACCAAGAAATTCCCCTCTCCAGAATCTGTCCTTTAGTTTAACCAAAATGACTGCGAATGTGCAGAAACGATAAATACTTAAATGGCAACAAATTAGGTGTCAGAAAGTAGCTAGAATATGAAAATCCTCCCCACCAGTTCCGACATCAAGGATATGGCACCATTATAACAGTTTTAACGCTGAATCATGAGCACGAAAATCAAACGTCATTCCAAGATGCTGCAACACAACCTGTAGACGAAAAGTACAAAAAGGTTTTTTCCCGGTACAGAAATAGCCTATTTCAGCAAGCAGAGCTAAATGAAACTAGAGTCACTTTGTTCACAGCATTCTCTAATGCAGATGCAGTTTGATTTACAAAACCAAATAAAAAGAGGAAACAGAATATTTAGCTCCTGAAGATGCAGTAAAATCGCATGGTACATTTCTAACAAAAATAACAAAGCAAAGAAAACTTGAGAAAAGCAATAAATATAAGCCTCCGAAGCTTCTGAGGAGCAAAATAATAAAAACATCCATTGACATGTTTGAATCTTTTTTTCTTTTTTCTAGATGAAAATAAAGTCCATCTGAACACGCACGATATACATCCACTGGCTGTTGTCTGTTTTCTGTAGAAGTCCCACAAAGCAGCGCTCACTGTCCATCTCCTCATCCATGTTGTTGAGTCTCAGTAAGAGGGACTCCAGCCCCGACGGTTGTTCTGTCCTCGGGTGGTCAGATATGCATCGTGGCAAAAACCAGTCGTGTTGATGGAAGGGGTGTTCCAGAGAGCCAGCCGGGGATGTATGTTCATCCGTGGAGCGTGAAGGAAGCCAGTCAGGCGATGGCTCTCACCCTCCTGCAGTAGGCAGTGCACAAACAGTCAGCAGGTCACTGGTGGGCTGCTGCAGCCTCAGTCCTGTCCACATTCAATGCTGTTGCTTTCTTTTCTATAATGTCTTTACTTTATCTAACATCTGACAAAGGACTCACCCAAATCTGGCATTTTTTTAAATGTGTAAATTAAAAAAAGCTGTCATTCTTGGGTTTACAGAAAATCTGTCTTTTGCAGGGCTGAAAATAGAGTTTGGCTTTTAGAAGCAGTATAGTCGATGAAAGCAAATACTGAAATAAAAAGTCCAGACTGATTACTAAGTGGCTATAAACACCTTCTAACTGGCCTGGCCTCTCCGTGGTCTGGACAACGATGAGCAAATAGCATCACTAATAATCAAAAGGTGTCACAATGCCAGACTGGATTAGGACCCTCACCCCTGGTCTCCTCCCACCCCCAGCATCCCCTCACCGGTCCAGGCCGATGAGTAGGCGGCTCCTCTCCTCCTCCTTCTGGCTCTCATTCTTCAGGTCAGCGAACACCTGAGTGAAGTAGTGTGGGTCGGAGTTGATCTGGAGCATCTTGGTGCTCATCAGGTTGATGATGGACAGGCAGCGATCCCAGAACGTCTCCTTGGAGGACTCCACCAGGAAGGGCTTGAGCGGGTATGAGATCTCATTGCCCATGTAGGAGTAAGACAGGTAGAGGCAGGTGAGGAGCACGGCCTGCAGCTCATGCTCCGTGGCCACCTCAGAGGAGACCACGTCACGACAAAGCATGTAGACGAAGACCACATTGGCAGGTGTGATGAAGCCCTGGTCCTGCCAGCCCTGCAGAAGCAGGGACCGGTCCACGCTGCGCAGCCACAGCACCGGGTCAGTGGGGGATAGGTGCTTCAGACGGTAACAGCGCCGACACAGAAACTCCCCCAAGCAGCGCAGCAACTCACTGGTGGAGGCCTGGACAATCACCCTCTTAGGGGTCCCAGGGGCCACATTGGAGTTAGTCAGCGGGGCCTTTTTCACCGAAGAAGTGTTGTTGGAGCTCTTGGTGAGAGCTGGGGTGCTCTGGTCATGGGTGAAGCTGGACAGGTTGGCGCAAGACTGCGACTTCTTCAGGTTTTCATTGTTCAGGTGGGAGACGTTGTTCTGGTAGGTGCCGTTGGGCTGCACCTTCTTGGAGCTTTTCTTCTTGGCCGACACAGCCACAATCCGTTTCCATGGCAGCACATTGATCAGCGAGTGCCTCTTCAGGTTCTTGTCTTTGGCGTTCTTGCTGTTCTGGACGGCCGTGTAGTGTCCCACGGTTGCAGGTCCATCCTCGAAAAGAGCCGCCTTTCTGTAGCTAGGTGACAGGGACAGCACAGTTCCCATGGCGACGGTGGGAGGGGCTCCAGGAGCTTTGGGGTCAGGGGGGTGTCTGCTGGGGAAGAGGTCCTGAGGGCCTCGAAGTTGCAGGTGCTTCTGGGATGTGGAAGTCCCGGGCTACAGGCTGCCGCTGGGCATCAATGGACTGTGAGGATCTCTCTAAGGGATCAGAGTGGTGTGTCTGCCCACAGCGCTGAAGGAAACAGACAGACGACAGATAAAGATCTGTTTGAATTATTATTCTATATAACCCCAACCTAAAACATATTTAGTTTGTATCAGATTATATCCTAATTAGATGTCATAAATGTCTTTATCTGACAAAAATCAGGAGAGGCATGCATGAAAATTAGTTGTTTTTACTGCAGATGATCAACAATGTTAGTTTGATTTTAATGGGAAATTCATGTGAAAGCAGCGTCATTTTCTAATAGGACTGAGCTGCACCAAGGATTGAAAATGGATCTGTAATCCATAATTCACTGTGAGGGATTTACAAGCAATGGACGACGAATGAATCACCACCCACCCCCACCCCCGCACTAAAATGGACGTCAGAAACGTAAACACCACAAACAGGTGAAGGTCGCCTTTAATGCATCAAACAAACAAGATCATAATGATTTTATTCAGAAACATGAAAACAGATTATTTTATCATTTTTTATTCTTCATTTACTTCAGAATGTCCAATAATCCAATAATAATAATAATAATAATCACCATCATCATCATTATCGTAATCACAAATGCCATAACAGGGTCTAAATAAACGGCTGGTTCTGGTGCTACTTGGCGCTCTCCGTGGTGCTGAAACTGCGGCTGCGTAGCCATCAGATCCGTCGCTCTGATAGGCGGTGGCTTAAAAATCCAGATTATGGCTCTCCACCGTAATTAACACAAGATGTCCTCAAATTCACCTGACGTGGATTGCTGCACGTACATGATTGTACTCCGTTAAAGGAACGCTCTATGTTCCTGTCGCTTGTTTTGAAATCCACAAATATATTAAAAAAAAATCACAACAAACTCACCAGATCTCCAGCTCCAATGCGTAAAAGGTCTGCGTCTCCCTTCTCTATGTGCGTTTAAAACGTTAAATCATCTCGAATGTTGAAACGCAACGAAGGAGATAATCCAGTTGGAGGCAGTGAAAGGAGAGGAACACAAAAAGAGAGGATGCAAGCAGTGGATGGGGGCGCCCGGAGTCGGTGGTGCGCAGACGGCAGAGGGCAGTTGTGGAATGGATGCTCGGATGAGGATGTGCTCCTGGCTGAGGGATGCGGATGCTGCGGGCTGATGTTGCGTCTCTGTGATGATGGTTGACGCAAAGGCGGTACTGAGGCGCCGCTCTGCTCTCTCTCTCTGTGCGTGGCGCTGCTTTTCCCTGTCGAAACAGCGCCCCCTGCTGCCACAACAACGACCTGACGCTCCATTTATCTGCAGCTCAAATAGAATCAGTCAAAAGAATGGATTAAAAATAAACTTCTTCCCTACTTACGATAATGTACATGACAGAGTTATCTGGAAACATATGAATAACATCAGTTCTGTAAAGGTATAAGCAAATCCAGAGGGTTTTAATCAATAGCTGCTCTTATTTAGTAAAAAATGGTCAGAAATTATTGAGGAAACCCCTTTTGTAAATAAAAACAAAAAAAAGTTTGTTTTATTTCTAAACTGTTTATTTATTTATTTATTTATTTATTTATCTTTTGGGTAATATTTGGGTTTGCTATTTTGAACTAGTCGATCTTATTTGTCTGTTTATATACATTTTCTTGTTTAACGTGGATTTTTTACTCACTCACTTTGCTTTATAATTTTTTTGTGTTTCCTCTTTATTTTTGTCATTTTGTTTTTTTTACAAACCACTTGAAATTAATTTGATAAGAAACAAATAGGTCTAAATGAACAAATACGTATCAAGCACAGAATTTTCCATCTTCTCTTGCAATTTTACACCAAATGATTATGTTTAAATTATCTATCGGCTAAGAGACACAACAATAGTAACAGTTGTCATCCGAGACTAGCCACGTTGTAAAGAAAAGTTTTGAATGAATTTTATAAACGAACCATTTCTCAAGGGCTCCAAAATATAACACGTTGCTTATTTGAAAGCAAAAGTAGCCTAAAAAAATTAAACTTTTATAAATAGAAAAATAAAAAAAATGGTAACATAGAATCTAAAACGAAGAATGACGACAAATAAGCTCATTATTTTTATTTTAACGGTATAAGTTGGTGGAATGTCGATGGTGGAGCCCCGTCCATAATGAACTACATTTCCCTGCGTGAATTAAAGTGCATGGCTTCGCACGTACAGGAACGTCATCCACGCTCAGTAACGTATTCCCCCCACGTACTTTTCATTGAAGTAGAATTTGAATAAGGAAGATGGCGGCTGCAGCAGTGGTTGAGTTTCAGAGAGCTCAGTCTCTCATCAGCACGGACCGCAACGCCTCTATCGACATCTTTCACTCAATAGGTGCGTCTTGATTCTGTCTTTCCAGGTGGACATTGTCCATTGGAACTACTTAGTTATCTGTTAGTCGTCCACAGCTTGGATACAGGGCTTCGGTAGCCCAAACCGGTGTTCCGTGCCGTGCTGACTCACTGTTGAACGGCGGCTAGTTACTGTTAGCCACTGGACGCTAGCGGCTTTAGGCCTGAGTGTGACATGAGTCAAATGAGAGCAGTAAAATCATTTTTGTTAATGAAAATCTAGTTACTTTGTGTTTTTGTAGATTCTTAAGTATTTTTTGCATAAAATTGTCACGTTAGCGTGGGTACGGCTGCGGCTAGCATTAGCTTCTGGTAATCAGAACACAGTGGAAAAACTGCCCTCTGAGTAAAAAGAGCCACTATTTATGAAATCTGTGATACATTTATGAGATTGGGTCCTATATAAAAACGATAAATAGTTAACTAACATTACGTGCTGTTCTGATTACCTGGTCGTGCCTGGCTTTCATTTTGCCATGTCACACCAGTCGGAAAACTGTCATCCTACCTGTCAGCTAGTGGTTCTGAAAAATAACTTGGTTTATTCTTCAGTTTACTAATAAAACTGTGATCTTTATCTTACACAAAGCTTGGTATGTAATGGTTTCGTACTTGAAAATTATGTTATTATTTGGAGCTTTGTTTTGTTTCCGATCAGCTCCTTATGCATCTAAAGTCAGGTGATGTTTGGGGTAATATTGACATTTTTATTTATCAGCCTACTCTTAGTTTTCCAAACTCAGTGTTATTAACTTCTAATACAATGGCAAACTAAATCACTCTGTACCCATTTTCAGAAAAGTTCTGTTTAAAATGTTAGTTTCCTGTTTAACCTGCTGCATTTCTTTCTATTTTAGTGAGACGAGATGTTCAAGAGAACGATGAAGAAGCTGTCAGGGTTAAAGAACAAAGCATCCTGGAGCTGGGGACACTCCTGGCCAAGACGGGACAAGCTGCTGGTAACGATTTAACTCTGAGCATCTTTTTATAGCTGCTAACTATCTTTGATAGTTAAAATGTTTTACGAGAAAAAGGAACTATAAGGACTATTGTTATTTTTAAGACTTGGGCACTTGGTGACAATGTCACAACTGCCTTAAATGAAACATCTGGTGCTGCCTTTTCACAAGATGGCATCGTTTATTGAGGATCTAATGTAGTTTCTTTCAAATACAACAGAAATATATAGCACTCTGATAAAGTGCTATCAGTTTAAGTGGTGATGCTTATCTGAAATGTTTAAAATCTAATGTCTAATGCTTTTTAAAGGAGACCACTGAGTCCACTGATCTCAGGCTCAGGGGGAGAGAGTTCCAGAGTCTGGAGGCCACAGCAGCAAATGATCTGTCACCTTTGGTCTTAAGCACAACCAGTAGGCTTTGGTCACTGGACCTCAGAGACCTGCTGGGGGTGTAGGGACTGAGAAGGTCCCTATGTCCCTATTTTTGTATGATCTTCTTCACCACTCTCTCTTTATTCTGCTCTCCCCACCTATTCCACCTTCCTCAGGATCCACTGATTTCCCTCTTTCCTAGTCACTCTCTCTCTTAAACATTTTTTAATCACAATTTTCTATTTTTTGCTCATTTTAAATATATTTAACCATTTTCTAAATTATTTTTTATAGTTTTACATTTTTTGTTTTTGTGAAGCGCCTCGTGATTTTTATCTTGAGAGGCGCTATAGAAATGATATTTTCTTCTTTTCAATGTATGATGGTGCTTGTCCATGTAAGGCCCTAAGAACCAGAACCAGGATCTTGAAATTAGGGCTGAAACGAATCATCGAATTAATTGAATGGTTCGGTTCATTAAATTCCTTGATTCATTTTTTATGGATTTGAAGCTTCGTTAAATGTGCGCTCCACAGTCTGAACACATTTTACTGGAGCTGTGGTGGAAAATAGAGAAACCAGCAAAGACAGAAACCATTGTAAAAGGCAGACACGGCCCAAAGTTTTGGATCAAGAGTTAAACTACGAGCAGAATTCCTAATGCTAAGCTAGCGGGTAACATTGTCGCGAGCTAGCGTGGTTCAGAAAAAACTTTGGTTGTGATCGACTAAACTCCACAAGCGGAAGAAAAATCCCCATCACCCCGTTTATGTGTGGATCTCTGCTGCAGTGTGGGGCAGAGCCGCTGCAGCTACCGTCTGGTTGTTGTTAAGAGTCTGCTCCATCCACCGCAGGAGTATATGACAAGCCGTTGTAGCATATAATTTACTAACACTTGTATATTTTAATACAATTTAGACTAGATTATGTTGCCAACTAGTAATTAATAAAATAAATATACCACAAGTACATTGTTACAATTAGAAATTAAATGTTAGCATTTCTAGTAGCTTGCTATTGAACTTGTTAATTAAATTCTACTGATTACAGTATATGTGAATATATTTAGATGTTATTTTGACTAGGATGAGGTCAATACAAACCTAAATTGAGAATGAAATGCAAGTCAAATTTTGTTCCATAAAATATTTATTAACTATAATGATCAGGTGGGAAAGAGGGAACTAGACAACACCAATTTAATATATATTATTGAGCCTTTTATAATTTTGCTTTTTTATTTTCATATTTTTAGCAGCAGACCATAATCTTGTTTCACTTGAAATGTCGTCAAATAGAATACTCGATTAGTCCATGGAGGATTCAATAGAATACTCGAATACTAAAATATTTGATAGCTGCTGCCCTGCTTGTAATGAACCCTGAAGTTGACTGGCAGCCAGTGAAGCTGGAGGAGAAGCGGGGTGATGTGGGTGTGTTTGGAGGACTTGGTCAGAAGCCGAGCACAGGCATTCTGAACCACCTGTAGACGGTTCAGGGAGGTTTTGCTCAGACACGTGAAAAGAGAGTTGCAGTAGTCTAAGCGTGAGGAGATGAAGGTGTGGATAACTGTCTCAAGTTCAGAGCGGGACAGAATGTGACTCAGCTTAGCAATGTTCCTGAGATGGAAGAAGGAAGAGCGAACAAGAGAACTGACATGAGAATCCAGGGTGAGAGCTGGGTCAAAGGTCACACCAAGATTCCTGACAGAGGGTTTCTTGTGAGAAGCAAGCTGACCAAGAGTGTCTCTGACTTTGGGAACCAGCTTGTCTGGGGCACAGATGAGGATCTCAGTCTTATCTTCATTCAGCTGTAGAAAGATCCCAGTCATCCAAACAATTTCTGCTTGTGGTTTGGTTTTGCAGAGCTTGGTGGCTTGTTGAAATTTGTGAGGCCTTTCCTGATTTCTATCAGCAAAGCCAAGGCAGCCCGGCTCGTTCGCTCCCTGCTGGACCTCTTCCTCGACATGGAGGCCGCCACTGGGCAGGAGGTGGAGCTGTGTCTCGAATGCATCGAGTGGGCCAAGGCAGAGAAGAGGACCTTCCTACGACAGGCTCTGGAGGTCAGAAGTAGCCTTGTATGCCACACCAATCACAAACTTCCACTTCAAACACATTACATGAGTTATCAATATAATGTAGTGGAAAGTTCTTTGATCCCCACTTTGTAATCAAAGTTGTTGGTGTAAATTCAAACATACTCATCAGTAGCTCATTTAAGATGTCTCAGGAATAAGTTCATTTAGAGTCGCCATTTCTCATTCGCTCAAACTGCAGCACATACAACAGATTATGAGCAATAAGAGTTAAAACAAAACCAAAATCTGAGTGGAAGCTTCGCCTGATGTTAATTTCTTAAATGCTCTGACTCATGGAGTGGGAGACGCTTTGACGCAGAAAGTGGAGGAGCATTTAGTTTAGTCCCATGTGGCATGACATCGCTGTGAGAACACCAAATAAAAACTAGAAGCTTTATACACGAGTGTTTGGCTGTTGTAGGAGATTATCAAATGCTTCGATGACACGCTGGTGGCATCATGACTAAACATCGTGATCAGATGTTGTGTTTACAGACAGTGTTGGCTGCTTTAATCTAAATGACAACAATCAATCAACAAGGTGGTTTTTGAGGCTGACACAAGGGACATTTTAATTAGAATTATTCACACAACCTTAAAATAAAGATACATTAATAAAATAGGTTAAAAAAAAAGTTTTCATGCAGAATCACTATAAAGTCGTTTTTGTTAAGTTGCTGGAGTTCCTCCTGATCAATCCTTCTAACATGATTAAGCTTGATTAAAAACAGAAAGTTTCTTCTTAACTTGTGTTGCGTTTATTATTTTAGCTGAATGGATTTGTCTTATTTGGATAAAATAATTAAGGATGAGTTGGAAAAACAAGACTAGACTTGATTTTATATAAAATCCTAAACCTATGGAAGAGTTTGGTAGTTTGTTTAACAGAAGTCTCATGTGAGAGCTTTTTGTGTCCCACTGGAGAGTTGACTGATTTGGATTATCAGAGCTAAAGTCAACAGCTGACGGGGTCAGAGACGCCCAGATCTTCAGCTGGAATCACTCTGAATCGCTACATCTGACACTTGAGATGTCTCGTGAGTTTCGGATGACTAAGTATTTTGAAAGAACATTTGTCTCATAAATGAGCTGAAAGTGATCAAAACTATAGCAACATGATGGTGAGTCCGTGCCACTCGTGGAGGAAAATCAAGAACCCTTAAATGTTTCAAGACCTTTTGGGAACGTCCACGTCAAAGCTGTTTAAGTGGCAGCTGCAGTCCAGAGAGATGGAGACTAAAGATCCTGCTGTCTTAATATGATGTCATCCAAGCGACTGTCTGATGTATTCCTGTGATTTCAGGCTCGGTTGATCTCGCTGTATTTTGACACCCAAAGATACCAGGAGGCCTTGGCTCTTGGTGAGTTCTCACAGATTTCAAAAGTCTGTTTGCAGGTCCTCACTAACCCCCAAATTCCACTACCTCCGCTCCGCCCCCGCCCTCCGCTGCCGCTCGCTTCCGAACTCAATTTTTACTGGTACCCGCTCTACAACGGCTCCGCTCCGGTGCGGAGACCTGAGGTGGGCAAACAAGCATGCGCGGGATTTTCGAGATCTTGCGATACAGTCCGAGCAATAAACGCGGAAGTTAGATCCAAACACCCGTTGTGTGGGAGAAGCATCGAAATGAACTGTTTAATCTGCCCATCATTTGTGTTGAGAGATCAGCAGTGTTTGGATCAACAAAGTGTGACCACTTTGATAGTGGAAACTGTATTTATGGCTTACTTTTGTGCATTTAAACTTCAGCCGCCATTGATAGTTGTTAAAAGTTGTTAAACCTGTGCATATGAAACAAAAAACGCCTTTTGTTTATCGATGTATTGTGAAAAACGGAAGTTGTGCCCGCTCCTTTTCCTGTTGGACGGTTGTGATTTCTGTCCATTGACTGCGGAGGTGCTCCGGCGTCCGGCGAAAATAGGATCGATTCCATTTTTGCCGGACGCCGGAACAGAGGGCGGTGCACGGCGCCGCACTGCCGGAGCACGGCCGCAGTAGTGGAATTGCTCTGATTGACTACGACGGGACCGATTTTGCTCCGGCGTTCGTGTCGGAGCGGAGCGGAGGTAGTGGAATTTGGGGGTAACAGCAAGTTTAGAGGAGAGATTAACCACAAATCAGAGTTAAGGTTGTGTTTTTATCTGTTCCTGTAACACTTTACGTGCACCACAACGACTCATCCTTACAGGCTCTCAGCTGCTGCAGGAGCTGAAAAAGATGGATGACAAAGCTCTTCTTGTGGAGGTTCAGCTGCTTGAAAGTAAGACGTACCACGCTCTCAGTAACCTGCCCAAGGCCCGTGCTGCCCTGACCTCAGCCAGAACCACTGCCAACGCCATCTACTGTCCTCCGAAGCTCCAGGCAGCGCTGGACATGCAGTCAGGTCAGAAGTCCGACATCAATGTAAAGAGTTTAAATGAGTTGTTTCTAGGGGTGGGCAATATAAACAATGTAAGGTAGAAACAATATAAAATTGCGTAATGATAAGTTTTTGGCTCTACCGCGATAACACATGATGTCTCTAAGATGTGCACCCGCGCCGACATTGGAACAGCAGAGTGGCAGCATTCTACACTTTTTGGATGTCTTTATTCTGCTGCAGTATATTTTCCATAAGAGGATTTTTTAAAGCATGTCATTTTGACATATATTAACAAAGGAAAAAATATATCTCAGTATATATCGTAATCGCACATGCTTCAGATTATGTCGCAATATAGATTTGAGGCCATATCGCCCAGCCCTAGTTGTTTTCTTCCTACGGATAATAGTTTGTGCATCACACACACACACACACACACACACACACACACACACACACACACACACACACACACACACACACACACACACACACACACACACACACACACACACAGACACAGACACACAGACACAGTCTCTCTCTAAATGTGTGTCATCAGCCTGGCAGGTTTTTGTTGACATGTCGTTGTGGCTGCAGGGATCATCCACGCAGCTGAGGAGAAGGATTGGAAGACGGCCTACTCCTACTTCTTTGAGGCCTTTGAAGGCTACGACTCCATCGACAGTCCCAAAGCCATCACAGCACTCAAATACATGCTTCTGTGCAAAATTGTGCTCAACCTGTGAGTAGTTGTGTGAATTTATGTGGTCATTTACTCAGAACCTGGAATTCACGTTTTAACTAAGAATTGTAAACGAGTTGTTTTGCTTCCTTCAGACCAGAGGAGGTACAAGCTCTGATCAGCGGCAAACTGGCCCTGAGATACGCCGGCCGGCAGGTCAGTCCAGCCGCTAAAGCAGTTGGCTAAACAGCTGAGGGGTTTGGGTTTCTATGGTGGAAGAGAAACTGAGTTTCAATACTTCTTAGATTGAAACTTTTTTGGTCCTGCCTTTAAAATTTAAATTAAGTGAAATATGTTTAAATATTTTTACTTAAAATGCAGCGTAATCTGTCCACCAGTAGGATTTAAATTACAATATTTTCTGTCTCCGTGTTTAGACGGACGCCCTGAAATGTGTTGCTCAAGCCAGCAAGAACCGATCGTTAGCAGACTTCGAGAAGGTAAGAATCATCCTAGGTCCACTTCATCCTTTTGTCAGATTTTTTATGGGGGCGGTCTCTGCGCTGCCACGGACATCCGTTCATCTTGTACATAGCTTGCTTTTCATTGAGATCGAAGCTGCGCTCATTTAGTTTTTCCGCAAGCCGCTCCTAAAGGTGTTTGTCACTCAGTCCCTGTGCAGTCTCAGGTGATCTGAGCTCCAGCTCTAACGGAGAAAAGCTCCTGGTGCGCTACACCCCTTCAGTTTATCATCTCAGCTGATTCCGTTTACAAAAACGAAACTTGTGCTCGTTTTTACTTTTGTTTTCAGTATAAATGCCGACCAGAGCTCGGCATTATCTCCGCAAAATGCCGAAATTGATATGTACAAGCAGTGTATTGATTTTAATGTTTTATGGAGAATGTAAACATTTACTGTTTTTCTTTTTTGTACAATTCAACTGTTTTTACTGCCTTCATTCTGACCAAATAATCTATTAACCTCTCCTCATAATTCCTACCTGCAGTGTAATTAAAGTCCAGACTAGGATAGTTCTGCATGTGTTTGGTTTGTCTTCACAATATTCGTTTGGTCTGCTTTGATTCAAACTCATTTTAGTCAGCCGTTTGTAGGCAAGCATCGTAGGATCTGAGGGTTTTAACTGAAAGCCTTCTGTCGTCCAGGCTCTCACAGAGTACAAAGCAGAATTGAGGGACGATCCGATCATCAACACTCACCTGGCCAAGCTGTACGACAGCCTGCTGGAGCAAAACCTCATCCGAGTCATCGAGCCGTTTTCCAGAGTACAGGTCAGACTCTGCCAAGTGAAACCGTGTGAACAAGTACTCATGCTCTACAGTTTAATTCAAACTTCAGACCTGATGAGGGTTTTAACTTGGTCTATGCCAGGGGTGTCAAACTCATTTTAGCTCAGGGGCTACATTGAGGGAAATCTAGTCCCAAGTGGGCCGGACTGGTAAATTAATAACAACTCAGATTGTTTTCTTTGTTTTAATACAATCAATATAAAACAAGGCTGGAGCCTGAGGACAGTGTATCCAAAATAGTACAAGTACAACACCTGAAGTGTACTTGAAAATTTGAATAAATAAATAAATAAATAAACATTCCTTAGTGATTCAAAGAGCTTACAGATCACATGGCTAGATCAGTTTCATGCAGCACTTAAAGTAAATTTGACTCATTTTACTTAACACCTTTTAGCTTTCACCGGCACATCAATATCAGAAGTCACATCCTGAGTGGCGGCCAACTTCAGGATGTGATTCAAGTTCTTGTGTGAGCCTTGAGCGCAGCTTTGTTTTATTTATACTCATTACAGAGAAAACTTGCTCACAAAGACAAATTTACTTTCACTCTACATTGTAAAGTATGAAAATAAAGTTTACACAACCATCTCACGGGCCGGATTTAACCCACTTGCGGGCCAGATCCGGCCCGTGGGCCGCATATTTGACACCCCTGGTCTATGCTAATAAATCTGGAGATTTCTAATCGTAGAGTTGGCCTAACAAGTGTAATTTGTCATTTTCCAAAACTGATTATCAAGCCTTTTGTTCATTTTTCTCTTTCTGGTTTCAGATAGAACACATATCGGATCTAATCAAACTATCAAAGGTACATTTGACTTAAATTAATTCAGTTTTAGCAAAATATGTCAAACTGCACTTACCCCCACCCCTTTGTTTCTCTTGTAAAGGGTGATGTGGAGAGGAAATTATCACAAATGATTCTGGACAAAAAGTTTCATGGTAGCAGAACTTTGTTTTGTTTGTTTTATCTGGTTAAAACAAACATTGTCACCCATTTGCTGATGTGTTTTCTGACCTTTGCAGGAATCCTCGACCAAGGTGAAGGTGTTTTAATCATATTTGAAGAGCCCCCAGTGGACAAAACGTATGAAGCAGCCTTGGAAACGATTCAGAACATGAGTAAAGTTGTGGACTCGCTTTACAACAAAGCCAAGAAGCTCACATAGGTGAAGACATTTCATAGTTAAATAGAATCACAAATCTTTTTATTTTTTTGTGAATCATGTCCTAAAAGTGTTTGTCTCTGTTCTCAGAGCAGGATTCTGTGGCTGTGCGATCGAGGAACTGTGTGTGTTTTGACCAGCATGTGTAAGATTCGAAGAAGGGGACAAGAAAGAGCAGCAGAGAGGATTTCCCCATCAAACGTCCCTCCCTACACGGACAGTCTCATTACTACTCCTGTTTATTTCCTTTGATTTTTATATCTATTCAGGATTCTGTAAAACACTCAGCGGCCAAATCAGGCCATCAGGGAATATTTTACGACCACAAGGATGGAACAAATACTAGGTTTAAGAGTACAAATGGGTTTATATCAGCCGTTAACAGACTCCACTGCAACCTCACATGTGCAACGTCGACCTCCACGGCCCTGCGCTGCTAGCGGCTGTGTCAGCAGCAGCAAGGCTGCTTTTCCACGTCTTTCAGAAGCAAACTGTTTTTGGAAGGTTGGATTTTGTTCAGAGAGCTCTCACTAGATCTATTTTAATTTGTCCTCGACCATATCGATGCCAACATTTAAGTCCCCTCTGTATTTCAAATATGTATTAAACAATTTGTTTCTGATTTAGTGATTTTTTTCCCTTTTGTTTGTTGTTAAGGAAAATCAGATGATTGCCACAGGTTTGCCCCTCCTGCTTTTTTGTAAGTTTCTAGATGAGACAGTATGCCATTTCACCACTAGTGCCACTTTTTGGCGCTTGAGTTAGCATTGGGGATTGGGTGCAACATGAAACGGGGTGGAGGTAGAGATGTTTTTGTTGCCTCTGAGCATCTGAGTTTTCCTGAGTGAACACTTCTCCATTGGTAGTTCTTAGCACTAGCGTGGTATGCTAGTAACCAAACAATTTGTATTGGTTTGATTTGGTTTTGGTTTATTTTCCTCTTATATAAAATACATTTTCAAAAATAAATATTTTGTATTTTAAAGATTTTGTCTTGTCTCTTAAAATATGCTGATGGTAACTGAATGTGAGAAGAACAGGTGTTTCCCCAGGTCGCTAAACGGTCACGTTTCTATTAAATTGAATTTGAATGTTTATGCACTGAAATCGTTTTTAAACTGGTAAAGACAAAATGCAATCTAAGAGTCTTTGTTGCTTTTTCAGTCTATTAAATGGTTTCTGATCAAAGGGCATTATTCATTTGAATAAAATATTGTCTTTGATTTTTTTTCTCTTACATAAAATGTAAATTTTACAAAGCTGTACACAATAAAGTTTCATAAGAAAACTACAAAAACTTCATTTAACGGTTTTCAAATGATAATGCAATGTAACAAAGTTGTGCTCATGAAAGTAGCTGTTTATTCTGATGTCATTAGGATAAAAGGCAGTTTTACTTACGTGAAGTTTTTTTTCTGTTTTTGTCAAAAAATCCAGATGGCATAGGAATTAAAAATTAAATGATTTTACACAATTAAGCCAAAATTGATTAACATCAATTCACCAGAGTGTTTACTAGTTATTACAAGATTACAAGCACCAGTGTGATAGGGGTGCTTGTAATCTCATTTGAAAATATTTATTTTTCCCATTTGCTGGTTTGTAGACACATTTTCAAACCTACAGTTCTTCTAACTTGTAATTTTTAAAATATACATAAAGATATCTAAAGTGTGAAAAAAGAAATTTGTCAGCTTTTACACGTTTCTTTATTTCCTAACTCGTTTCCGGTACTGAACGTAAATTAGACTGACGGGATTAATTTGAACGACTTCTATTTTAATTTTTACAAATTTACAACGCAAAGAAAACCAAAGTGTGGCCCTTTATACTTTTATATGTCTGCGGTTAACCCCGCCTACGTTTTCTGCGTGATGACGCAAGGCTACGTATACAGATCCCGCCCCTGGTACGTCGCTCATTTCTGTAGTTGTTTTGTCAGCGGAACTCTGATGTCCAGTTTGCCTTGAACTGAAGTATAAAACAACGCAGCGATGGGCACACGGGTGAGTTTGTCTGGTGTGAAATTCAAAACTCCGACAGGAAATCACCGAATACTAAACCGGACATTTAGTCGGGGGACCGAAGACTTTTTCACACGTAGAGCGAGCCAGCGTAGCAGCAGCCTGTGTGGCAGGACCACTTGTCATTCAAAAGTTAGCCGTCAGCCCGGAAGTAGAATCTCATGACCAGCGTCACTGTTAGCAAACACTTGTGTTAGCTCTGTAATGTTTTTAATCTGTAAGGGTTGTTCTGATTCAATTAACTGTTGACTAGCTCCTAACTGCACCGTCAATAATGTTACAGTTAGTGAACAAAAATGATGGTAAGAGCTGCTAAAGAAGCTCCGGGGTTTAAATGTCTACAAAGAAGGAAATGTCACAGGATTTGATGACTAAAAGTGAACAGCAGTCGTCCAAAAACTGAGCGCAGGGATGCTAAATATTAAACAACCCGGAGATGAATGATCTTGTTTTATCTGATCCTCAACTGTCATCCATGGCACGTAGTAATTTTTAATTAATGAAATTACCTAAAACTATTTAGAATTTCCACTTTGGTCAAATGTTGTTGAAACAGCTTTAGACAATTTAAGGATTTTAATGATAAAGTGGATTAATGCGTTATAGCCAACTTTCAAATCTGTCTCTTTAATAGATTATTAATAATATTTATTATTAATGATGTTTTGGATTTATATTCTTTGCAATTTCACATTCATTTTTTTGCTGTATTCAATTCATTAAATCATCCCAGAAGTATTGTATTTATTCATCATGAAAGTTTGTTTTATGTTATATTTCTAATTTTAATCTAGCCTGGCAAGCCATCCTATATATATCTGAATATAATATACAGGCTACTGTCTGCAGTGGCCGCTGTGCGTTTATGCTGTCAGATGCACTAACCACATGTCACCACAAGGGGATGCAAAATTACCATTCTTATTATAGCATGTACGTTTTCTACCTCAACAATGACGCTAAATAAAAAGGTTGAACAAAAAGCTAAAAACATATATTGAGAAAAAGACACATTGGCAATGGTGCAACATGATCCTATCCACAGAAGCAGTAGTTTAAATTAAAGTCAAGACTCAAAGTAAGTACCATCACTCTACCTGCAAAACTCATGGTGCAATGCAGTAGCTAAACAAAGCTAATCTCATGAAGTCAAAAGTGTAAGTTCTGCCCTACATTTTCTGGTTTATGGTCACAAAAGGCTGTGTTATAGTAAAAATAACACTCGGTTCGTGTAATCCTGTGTCCCAACCGATGGTCCCAACATCACACTGAGCTGATATCTGACTGTCTTGTGTTATTTATTTCTTTTACCTGCTGGAGAGTGTTTACAAGTCTCTGATGCTACATTGCATAATTTTCCAGTTCTCCATAATAAAAAAATAAATACTCCAGGAGGTGTACTCAGCTGCTCTACAACAAATATAGAAGGATGAGCTAAAAATAATGAAAAAGAATGGTGAACTGTGGAGAGCTTCCGGTTCCAGGTGAACATCCTGAGCTGAGCTAAGGCACTTGGTTTCAGTCCCAAAACCTCTGCGACCAAAGGCTCTCCTATTCTTTGCATTGGAGGAGGGGATCCAGCACACATGCTCCAGTTAGCGTACATCTATGGTAGAGATCACAGTGCCCAAAAGGAACAGAAATACATCACAAGACAATTCGGTCGTGATAAAAGTGTAAATAACATATTTAAACTAAACACTTAAATGCACATTATAAACAGCACACATATTCTGTATGATGTATAGATAGTTTAGTTTATTTTTCATGTTTTTTTTAAAATATTTTGTGTTTGCTATCTTCTTCCTGTGAGACTGGTGGGCCGGCACCCTAGCGCCCCCTATGGACAACCCGCCACTGACTTGCTGTCTAGATTTTTAGGCTAATATTACTATTAATCATTTATGCCAAACTTTGTCTATTATCCAGTTTTAGCAGTTTGGAGTTGAGGCTCTCCTTATTTCACACGTATGACTCTTAACGCAGCATTTTCTCATCGAGGGGGAAATTAGAAAAGCTCACAAGCAACATTAATAATTCATAATTTTAAACAAGCTGATCCAAATAGTTTATGCTTTATGTTCCATAAATCAGCTGATGCCTCCAGAAGAGTCATTGTTGATACGGCTTCTGTTTATGTTTCAGACTTTGAAAGCAGTTCGATGCCCAACAGAAGAACTCTCGTTAACCAACTGCGTTGTGATAAATGAAAAGGAGCCAAACTTGGAGCAGTAAGTTCCTCTGACACATGCAACCTCTGACTTCTGCAGCAGCACTGAACTGCTTTTGTACTGCACCGAGGAACATAACAGAAGAGCTGACTGTACTAAATTATAATCCTTAGTATTCTAATCCTACTTGAAACAAGAATTTTCCTGTCCTTTGTTGTAATTGAATCCTCGCCGTATTGTCCTGCTAATCCAGGGCAGCATTGTTGAAAATTATTGTGCAGATTTGTCACACAGTCTGATAAATCTTTCACTTTTCATTAAGTTTGTTGCACCAAATGTCTTTTTATTTCAAGGAACTCCCAGAGACATGGAGGATGGGTAGAAGTTCTTGGACACAGCATTGACTATGGGACATTCTCAGAAAATACTAGCAACAGCTGTGTCTGCTCAGGAAAACAAAATCTATTAGATTGACTTAAAAGATTTCTACTTGAATAAAATATAAATTTCTTTCTTCTGCTGGTTCAGTCCCCCCACTGGACACAGCTGTCCAGCCTCTTGAGTCCCCCACTGCCGCCTCCTCCTCCATAGCTCTGCTAATCTTCAGTCAACCAAGATTTGCATCTTATTTGTTTGGTGTTCTAGCCTTTACCTTCAAGATGCTTGTCTGTGTGGACAACTCTGTCCTTAGCTTTCTATGGCCCATGTTTAGTGATGGGCCAAGAAGCAGAGGCGTGTACCGATTCAGCGTTCGATTGGTTTCACAGAAAGCCACATAGCTGGTGACGAAAGAGGCCTCGTTTTACTTGAGTCACATGACTTTCTACTTAATTTTACTGAAACTACTGAGGTAGAAAATTTATCCTTACCTGATCCTAAAGTGTCTATAAAATGTGGATCACTGACCCTCACCATTAATGTCATCTGTGTACCTCCTCTGTCTTGAAATCACAAGTATTTCCTTGAATGATTGCGACCTTGACGTGAACACGAGCATAAATCACAATTAGCTGCATTCAGAGGGAATGATAAAGGGCAGCAGTCATAAAACATACTTTAATTAATTGTACAGGTTAGACATGATGGTCACCATTATGATGACTTGGCTTTCATGTTTAACTCCACCAGCAGATGTCGCTATATCAGGCTGATTGAATGAAGCTCTATGAAGCCTTGAATAGTCGACCTTTGGGCGGAGCAGTGAGCTGGAAAGCTTCTATCTGGCCATCACAACCTCCCTTCTCTGTGGGTCGCCATTATAATGATTAGTAGTGTGATTAATTTTCACTTATGGTCAGACAGACTGATGAGACACCTGAGATGCTGATTACAGGACACACTAGGGCTGGACAATAAATCGAAATTGTATCGTTATCGAAATATCTGATTCTTATCGAGATAATTTCTCCCATGTCAGTAAATTAGATAATAAAAAAATGAAAAGATGTGTGTAGGTTGGCAACATTCATGTCCCTTTAAGAAGCGGTATCACCTTGAGTCACGTAAAAATGTGACTCCGTAATACATGTGACAGCCCCATCTAGTGGACAGCTTTTTTCTGCGCGTAGTCTTAGGGAGGCTAAAGCTTGGTTTATGCTTGACGTATTCACTTTCCGCTTGGTGATGCGGCTCGCGGATGGAACGCGCTTCACAACTTGCAGCGTTTATGGTTCATGCGGCTTGTCTCTGCGGTGAGCCAATATTCTCCCAAGCTGTAGAGGCAGCATGGAGCTCTACAGCATGCATCCAACACTTCACCATAGTAGAAGTAGAAATTGCTGTTTACAACATGGCATTCCAGCATTTTTAACAGCGTCCTCGTCTTTTCCGACAGTGCGAGCTATTTCCACAAATCATTAACAACACGTTGATCACGGTGATCTTTGAGAGCTGAATCATACAAATGTCTGTATTTACGAACCTCTGCCATACTAGTTCTTGCCGGTCCGCCATGTTTTTCCGCGTCCGACCGTCCGCGTTGTTAGAAATTTTCCTAGGTGTGCGTTGTGGAAATTTTGGGCCATGCGGAGGTGCGGTGGAGGGGCGTGGTTGTTAAAATGACGCAATTTCGCCGTGCGGAGCCATGCGAACCTCGCAGACGCTTCAAGCATAAACCGACCTTTAGTCTCCTCCCCTTCTGGTCTGCTCATGGGTCCCCTGAAAAACAATAAAATGATTACAAGTCAACGAGGCTAAAATAGCTATTTTCTAATCCGCATTGCCTTAGACCCTGGATCACACATATGTTGTACTGGAATTTAACCCTCCCACTGTCTTTATGGGTGACCCCGCAAGGAAAGTTGACCACTGAGCACGATTGATGGTTAATCCCTTGAGGTCCACGTGGCAGGTGTGAGGTGGTGCTCACTCCTCACCCCTGCCACATGGACCCAAGGGATAAACCATCAACCCTGCTCAATGATCAACTTTCCTTGCAGGGTCACATCCATTAGGACAGTGGGAGGGTAAAATGAAAAGTAATGATGGGTGTTTCGATCACGCCAGTCATGTACTTAGAGATTTATCAGCTTGTAAAAGTTTGTAATTAGCTTGACTACATCGGCATGTCACATATATGATGTCACCACATAATCTCCACTCCCGTAGTGTAACTGCTACTTATCAAATGGCCAGATTTATGGTTCCTCCTGAAGGAAGGATTTTAAGTTAGCTGAACTTACAGCCATTTTCCCTTGGTTTTTCTTTGTGTCTGGTTTGATGACGTCAATTTCGTAAATCGCATTTGTAGTCCTGGACTTATTTTCACACACAACCTAAAATAGCATTTCCCCCCGTTCGATGATAAGCGCGTTCTTGGTATCAAAATGCTTCATTAAAATTCACGGACATCATATTTGAAATCCATGACACAAAACAAGCGTAATTATAAAATAGCATTTTTAGCCCCATCGACTTGCATTCATTTTTTCGTTCTTCCGTGGATCCATGGACTGGAAGTAGATGGGCGTGGCTTAGGCTCCCTATCGTCCATTATCGAGGTGAAATCAGCAATATATTGTGATATTGATTTTAGGCTAAATCGCCCAGCCCTAGGACACACCTTGGTTTATATGTCCCTGTGGGGGTTCAGTCTTTTATAGGGGTGCTGTCATTTTAGTCCAGACTTATAATTATTATTATTATTAATATCATTAATCACTTATTTCTAGTTAGTTCAGTGATTGTTATTAAAACACAAACACCTACAATGTCCAGCTTAATTCTTTTGTGTTTTTCTTTATTGTTCGTTTGTATTTGTTTCCCTCCTCTGCAGACATGTAGCTGTGTATAACAACAAGCATGAGTTTGTGTTCACCGTTAGGATGCATCATGAAGTGTCCATTGGCAGCATTGCTTTCAGTCTGCCGCAGGTACGTCTGTTCAGAAAGACTCCGCATCCACCTACATCTTCTCTAACAAACCTCTCTGTTTCAGTGTGTTTAGCCTTTCTTCTTCTTTATGCTTTTCTCTGCCTGCTCTGCTTCAGGACTCAGGTACTGCTGTAACCTTCTCAGGATGGTCTTATTTTACCACACGGTCTCTGGACTCTTGTTTCCCATAAAGTAGACCGGTGTGTGTGTGTGTGTGTGTGTGTGTGGGGGGAGTAAAGCTGTTGTGAAATAAGATCAATTAAAGAGAAACGTTGCACTATGAAACATGTAGTCTTGTCTGCCTGGTTTCTGTTTTTTCTTATTCTCTCACCATCGAAACACATTTTATTACTAAATAAACAAAAATGAATTTAAAACCGCTGCTTTCCTTTACAGAGGAAATGGGCAGGCATCGTGCTTGGAGATGACTTTAAAGGTGAGTTGAACACTTATTTTAATTTAGAGATTCACTCTTTATCCACCAGGGGGCAGTGGAGTATTGAAGCTAAACAAACCCGAGGCACTTCATACCTCACACCAGTATCGGACCAGTTAATGTTTTAGCATTAGCTTTAAATTTTCATGAAGTCTGCTGAGAGCTGCTGTCTGAGATTTTAAAGTAAATTATTATTTTTGATTTAATTTCACATCCGACTTTTCAAATGTGTTTCTCAAATAATGACTTGTTGTGATTGCTGCTGGAACTGAGAAACAGCTGTTTAAACACAAGTAGAACAAGATAATTTAGGTTTAATGAGTTCACATCGACCAACTCCTAGAAGCTGTAATAAGATTAAAGTGTCATGACTTTATAAAATTCACAGTTTTCTGTAAAAAATAAATAAAATGAAGTTTTACATAACTTTTTTGAGTAATGCTCTTTATCCCGCAGAATCCTCCACATGGTTCCCAGAGCTGTTGTTTATGGTTAGATCTTCGCTCACTGTCATAACCTCTAAGCACGTTGCTGCTTCTGTTGGTAATAAGTTGGAGGCTGATGGAAAAGCATGGCGTATGATACAAGATCTCAGAATGGTTAATTCTGCTGTGCAAACCCGTGCTCCACACGTGCCAGATCCTCACACGCTGTTAAATTCTCTCAAGCCTTCCAGGAAGTACTTTTCTGCGATTGATCTGAGCAATGCGTTTTTCAGTGTTCCTGTTCATCCTGACTCACAGTCTTGGTTTGCTTTCACCTACAAAAACTCAAAATACACTTTCAACCGTCTACCACAAGGGTTCGCTGATAGTCCCACTATTTTCACTCAAGCAATCACTAATTGTCTCGCTGATTTTCAATGTTCAGCAAATTCACAGATTCTTGTTTATGTGGATAAATTTTTGGTTCTTTGATACGGGCTTTTATTCATGAACAGTCCTCCTGAAGCCTCATCAGTGTAACGTCGTATTCTGCGCCATCAACATCATGCCATAACATCACAGGACTAGGGCACGCTACAATGCCAAATGTGGCAGGGTGGAAAAACGAGGGCCCGGGCGGGATTCGATCCCCAGACTCCCGGGTGAGAGTCACGCGCGCTTACCAGTCAGCCAAAGGGACATCCCCTTGGCCAAGTAGCCAGGGCGCATGATCAATCAGGACAGTGACAGGATGCTCACACTGCCACATCTTCCCCACTCTTTCCACAAGCACGTCCTCGTGCTCCCGCGCAGGGTGCCACAATCTTCACATCCATGGACCTACTTGACAGTACTACATGGATCCTGCCACCATCACTGCAGCGTCAGGCCTGAACTTTTTGGTTTTTAGCGTTGTCATTTAATTTGTTGATTAAGATGATTTTCTAGGTATTTTTTATTTTTTTTGCAAACGTCTCAGATCCTCCAGCTTCAGCCTTCGAAACATTCAATCAGTTATCAGTAATTGTTGTAGATGGCTGAGTGGCCTCTGTTCAGAGAAATAGTTAATGGTTACCAGGATTGATGAGCTAACCGCTAGTCCAAGTACAGCCGAGACCTAGGCAGATCTACAAGTAAAAAATAATTTTGTATAGTTTTTTTTACATTGAAACCCTCCCAAATGGCCAAAGATTCCTTTTAATGAGCAGAACTTTTATTTGAGTGACTTCTGGGCTTCGTGGACCCTTACCCGCCCTGCGGGGGGTGGGGTGGAGACGGACGACAACAGGGTGACAGTGTGTGTGGGTGGTGTCTCCACACATCTGTCTGAGAGGTTGGCCAGCATCCAGAGGACGTCTTTGATGCTTATTCCCTTCAGCTCCCTGAGGCCAGAGTGATGTTCAGAAATGATGCATGCTATTATCACACTGTCCTCATCTCAGGAATGAAAGGACATGGAGGCTAACTGAATCCATGTCTTGAGTAAAAGAATAAGCTTCATCTTGATTTCAACATTTTTGACATCACTTTGAAAAGCATCAGAGCACCCAGCCTTTGTAGTCTCAGATTAAAAGGAATAATCTGTTTTTATTCCTATAAAACCACCAAAACTTCATTTATTGTTTAAATTTTGGTTTTGTTTACAATAAAACCTCAGTTTAAAACATTTTACCTGAGCGTTATCTGAAGGAAGAACAGAATAATGTTTGAAAATCAGCTCAGATGGGAAAGGAAAGGTTGATGATTGAATTTGAAGGAATGAAGCGTTTTCTTGTTGATCTGCATTTTCAAACCAAACGTGTTTCTAAAATGAGAAAAAACAGAAATGTTGACATTATTTTCAGATTTTGCACATATTCTCTTTAAAAATAATTTGTTTACAAACAAAAGTATTTCAGATGAGACTCCAAAAGGATTTAGGTGCTTGGGTAAGTGCTGTTTTAGTAGAGATTCGCCCAAAAATTCACCAATATTATGCTTGATCGACCAACCTGAAACTTTTTTTTATTGTGTGAACACCCAATAGACAAAATGAAAGTCATCTGCAGTAGAATGAAGCACTCGGCATGTCTTCCACTCACACAGCAGGGGGGCTGGTGCACTCATGATGCCAACATCTCATTACTCCATAGAATTGTTGATAAAAAGGTGTTTGTGTGAAATTTGGCCCTCACATCCTTTGTTTTCCTCCTCACAGTCACAAACTACAAGTTTGACAAGTCAAAAAGCTGCATCAGCAACATGACGGTGGAAATCGACTTCCTGCAGAAGAAGTTGGTTGACAGTAACCCGTACGACACCGACAAGATGGCCAGAGAGTTCCTGCAGCTCTTCAACAACCAGGCCTTCACTGTGGGCCAGCAGGTCCTCCAGGAGTCATGTGTTTTCATGCACTTGTTGAATAAGATTCACAGTTTTAGCTTACACATCTCTGTGTTTGTATCAATAGCTGGTGTTCAGTTTTTCTGAAAAGCTCTTCAACATTGTGGTGAAAGACATAGAAACAATGGACGCCAGCATCTTAAAGGGAAAACCTGTTTGTGATGATTTTAGGAAAAAGGTAAACTGTCCAACAACTGTCAGATCCGTTCCTTTAAACCCAGCCAAAGCTTTGCTGCTTTTTCCTCTCATGCAGGTTGGTTTGCTGCTGCCCAACAGTCAGGTGATCTTTGAGAAGTCAGACAACTCGGCTGTCTTGTTGACAGGTACATGTTTATGTCTTTTACCTGTTTACTCTGCTTATTAACTGAAAAAAAATCATCTAAAATTATTAATGAATACATTTTGATAATAAAATTATTACACCAAACACCTGATTTGTTAAAAATCAATCAATAAAAAAAATAAATTATATATATATATATATATATATTTTACACACACACAGTAATATTGCACACTCGTTATAGTGGCTCTCCTGATCTCCATTGGGGGTGATCTGCACACACATTCAGACATGATTTCCTTTTTGATCCTTTTACCGTTTTAATTTATGTGCATCTTGTATTTTTTCATAATCATATATTTTTACAGCTAACAACAGCAACATATTTTTCTGCCTTTACATAAACTTTATGGCAAAAATCAGATTTATTTAAAGTCCAATTATAAAAAAAACATTCCCTGGATCCATTAATGATAATTTAAAAAGAGAAAGCAAAAGGAGACGGCTGTTTTCCGTGTACCTGTAGGGCTGAAATCCTTTGTGATAATCATGTTTTCAGCTTGTCAGCTACACACTTTTGTTTCACCCTGAAGGCAAATCTAAAACCCGTGAGGCTCGCCAGTCCATCATCAGCCCAGACTGGAACTTTGAGAAGATGGGGATCGGAGGCCTTGACAAGGAGTTTTCTGACATCTTCCGCAGAGCCTTCGCCTCCCGAGTCTTCCCTCCAGACATCGTTGAGCAGATGGGTGAGTTCCCCTCACCTCCATAACCCGCTCCTCTGTTTGAATTTCAAAGTGTTGACAATCTGAGGATTTTCTCAGCGTCATCCTGGATATCTTCGCTGTTACCCACAAATGTGCTGAAACTGTAAATCTGGCCTTTATTTGATGAAACAGTTTTTTGTAGAAAAGACTTAGTCAGCATTGAGTCAACTTAAAGCTGGACATGTTTAATCACAGCTGAGGTTTCTGTGTCCTTTTTACTGGAAGAAGTTTGACTTATCTCCTGAATATCACGAGTCGGCACCAGTGAGACCAGGCCCGTTTCCTTCCAATACAAGGTGCACAGTTGCCAGACTTATCTATACCTGTCATTTCATTAATATATTCTACTTTTAACTCTAACTAATTACTATAGATTTGGCCCGTTTCACATCGCAGTTAAAAAAAATTAATTAGTAAACTGGCACAATCCTAATCAGTCAGTAGACACCTAATTTTATTTACAGCACAAAGCAGAAACGTTTATCAAAGGAGACATTTAGAAATCACGTTAGCTATATGAGCAGTCACTAATATAATAAACTTCACCTATTTACATGATGCAATAACAATTATCAGTAATAACCAAGTAATAAAGTTCTTTTTTGTATAACAAAGTGTCTGTTTGTCCAATCAACTGCACATATCTGCTGTAACATCACCAGTACGTCATAAATCACATGGTGGTGGGCAGCCTTCATGGAACATGCATAAACAAGCTGCAGACATGCAAGTTGTGAAGCAGTTGTGTATTTTTAAATAGTTAAACTATTTTATGTAATATTTAAAAATATTTAAAGTAAAATGGTGTTTGTGCTTGAGTTTATATTATATTTTTACACAGCAATGAAGTTAGTTTATAAGGGCATTAAGGAGATTTTTAAGAATGTTCTTTCAAAAATATTGTTTGTTACTTTTAACTGTAATGCATTACTTTTTAGTGTACATAATAAAATAACATTTTGAATGACGTAACTAGTAACAGTTAATTGTTACTATTAACAGTAATGGGTTACTTTTTGACCCTACATGAACAAGCGGGTCCAGAAAATGGCTGAATGGATGGATGGGTTACTTTTTGGTGTATGTAAAATATCAGTTACTTTTTGAATAAAGTAACTAGTAACTGTCATTACTTTAACAGCAATCCATTACTTTTTAGTGTAAGTAATGAACAAAGTAACTGAGTTACTTTTTGAATAAGGTAACTGCTTACCTTTTTTAGTAACTAGCATTGGTTGAACACTAGAAGAAGAATGGTAAAAAGGGTAAATGGCTTTTATTTGATATAGCGCCTTCTAGAGTCCTGGAACCCCCCAAGGCGCTTTACAACACCATCAGTCATTCACCCATTCACACACACATTCCCACGCTGGTGGTGATGAGCTATACTGTAGCCACAGCTGCCCTGGGGCGCACTGACAGAGGTGAGTCTGCCATACAGTGGCGCCACCTGTCCCTCCGACCACCACCAGCAGGCAACGTGGGTTAAGTGTCTTGCCCAAGGACACAACAAAAGCAACAGACTGAGTGAAGCTCGAACCTGCAACCTCCCGATCACGAGGCGAGTGTTTAACTCCTGTGCCACCGTTGCCTTTAACAGCACAAGAAGAAGAAATGATCTTTTATAGAGATAAAAATGATGAGGCCTTTTACAAGAACAAAAATTTCAAAATAAGATTAATAAATGATTAAAAAATATCATAAAATTGGGAGAAGTTAAAAAAAATGTGATTTTAAACAAATGTGAAGAAAGGGACTGAGAGTAGATCCTGGGAAAGGCAGATTTGGTAGAAGGAGCTGAATGAGGAAGAATCAGCTGAACTTTAGCCGGAACCAGGATCTGTAAACACCAGCTGGTGATTTTAAGCGATGATGATGTTATCCTCTATATGTAAATGTATAGTCTGGCCACGACCCGTTGAAGCGGCTCACTCATAGGGGCAGAATCTACACATTTGGACAGCTCTAGGACCAATCAGAGCTCTAAATAACGTGACTTACCCACCCATGTCAGTCAGCAGAGCAGTCCGTTATACACCGTTGAAGAAAAAGCAAATATGCCTACATCCCTTTTCTAAATAAACAACTCAAGTACCTCCTTCTGCTCATGTCTCAAAAAAAAGTCTAAATAGCCAAAGTTGATGGGAAAGCTGATTCAAACAAAAGTAGTTCCTGAGCTGACGCCATCTTTCTTGTTTTGCTTCGTTGCAGCTCTGGTATTAAACCCACTCCACAAATGTAGCACGCTGTGGTCGGCCAGACACTCACCTGTTCAGACCAGTGGTAGGCCTGCTGAGGCTATAATGCAGCGTGGCTAGACCCGTCTGCAGAGCAACATCTGTCCCCACTGCTCCGATTTGTGTAGATTTCAAGGCTATTTTACAAACATTGCTAATTACAACTAATGCACCAATATTTCTGATCCGGAATCATGTTTTCAAAACTAAAATTAACAATCTGTAGAATCTTAATTATGTGCTGCAATCTGCAGTATTAAAATGAAATATTTAACTAAAGTAAATCAAGCAAATAAATAAACTGGCCAAGTTTTAAATCTAAAAACAAAAACATTGAAACAAAAATAAATGCCCATTGTCAATCTGTTTTAGAGTATTTTTTAAGCCGATGATAAAAAAGTTGTAAATGTACTTTTAAATATAATTCTGCAGCAGCACTGGGCTGCCCACGGATGTGCCTGACTTTAAATCAGCTCTGCTAAATAAGTATATAGTTAGGCGTATGAACAAATTAGTAAATACAGACCGACTGATACATCAGCTTATCTCTAATACTGATTATTAAAAAAAATCACAAGATTTCTTCACTGGGCCCTTTCTCCAGCCAAACATCACTGTGGTTTATTGTGACTAGATAAAGCGAGAACCCTAAGGTCATAACAACAATGAGCGAGTGTTTTTGGAATCTGTTCCCCGAACGGCTACCAAACAAACCCCTCCCAGGGTCGTCGTTTTGCCTGAATCAGCACAAATCCTGATGATCTAACAGCCAAACCAGTGTCCTCTCTGAGCGCCTGGATCCCTGACAGAAACCTCTGCACACACTCATTAATAAATCTGTGACAGCTGTCAGATTACACGATGATTCAGTTTCCAAAGGACAGCAGCTTGCTCTAATGAAAACCACCGCGGAGTCCTCTTTGTGACTCAAACATAAAACCCTTCCTTCCCACATCTGCACACAATCAGGTCAGTCTTAATCCCTGCTCACTTGTGAAAACCTGTTGTTGGGACCTTTGAGCTTGGCAAATGTGTCCTGTACTCAGAGCTGCTACTCACACAGACTTGGTGTTCTGGGTCTGTGGTGGTGTGTCACAGTGCGTGAGCTGACCTTTAGCCGGGTGGCTGGCCTTTGGCTGCAGCCAGCTGGCCGTTGTAATGAGATGCCGTGTCCTGATAGAATGCCCAGCCCAGGGGAAAGTTTTAATAGGGAGTCACGGGGAGCTGGGGCTGCAGGTGCTGATGGAGAGACGCGGCGTCCGCACTAAAGTTCGAAAGTTTCACCTTGTCTCCCCTTTGCTCCCAGAGAGGTGAAACAGGTAGACAGAAGCTTCAGTGCTTCGCCTCACAAACCACGCCCCTTTTCTCCTCCTTGCTGTATAAGAAGGGCGTTCTTCTCCCAGAATCCCCCACCTGTCAGCTTGCCGGCTTTTCCCTCAGCAGGCCCGAATGGCATCGCTGATGGTTATCAGGGGCCTCTCAATTAGTCTGGGCTAAATGTCATTAAACAGGTGCAAAAGGCCAGAACAGATCCACGCTTTAAACATGGCGGAGAGCGCACTAGAACTTTATATAAGGACATCCAGAAATCTGATGGATTCTCCAACATGATGTTGTTTGAACTTAAACATTCGGAAATGTTTCAATTCAAGGCTTTTATTTTTTTTTAAAGTAACCCTAACCTTTCATCGATGAACCTTTATCTGATTAAAAATTTTGCTGGTTTGGTAAAACAACAACAAAAAAGCTAATATTGCATTTAAAGTGAAATCCGATTGTTACTGTTGCACAAAACCTTTTATAACCGACAGATAAAATATAATTTTATAACACAAACATCTGATTTCATGTCAGGAGAAGGTCTGGGCTTTAGGAGGGAAGGTCTCGTGTAAAGCTAGAAATGAGAAAATCATGATGTTGTTCTGTCTTTGGTGGATTTGAGTTTATTATGTGTTGAAGCTTTATTAGTAATATTATTTTATCATCATCGTTAACACTATTTCACCTCCGTGGGGTTCTGTAATCAAACGTTCTTTCTCGAGGGATTAATGATGTGAATCTGAATAATTCACCTCCACAATGCCTACAGTTTAAAGTAGGTAGGTAGAAACACTTGGCTCTTACATAGATTCTTTATCTTGTGTGTTTCTCTGACTTTAGCACACAAACCTATATTATATTTTAAAGATTTGTCACTTTAAGTGAAAGAGGTTATGTTAACATTACATCCAGTCTACATGAGGTAAATGTGAGCCACGGGAGAGAAAACCTGCTCTAAATTGGACACTTTTCTTGTTAAGGCACTTCCTGTTTGTGTGTTTATCTCCAGGCTGTAAGCATGTGAAGGGAATCCTGCTGTACGGACCTCCAGGCTGCGGTAAAACCCTGATGGCTCGACAGATCGGCAAAATGTTGAAAGCCCGGGAGCCAAAGATCGTCAACGGCCCCGAGATCCTTAACAAGTACGTGGGAGAGTCCGAGGCAAACATCAGGAAGCTGTTTGCAGATGCTGAAGAGGAGCAGAAACGGGTGAGAGGAAGATTAGCGTTTTATGTTCACACTAAAACTAAAAAGATGTCCGCGGCTGCGTCTGACTAACAATTTCCAGAATTTGAGAAATCACGAATCTCACAGTGGAGCTTTTGCTTCTCAGTATCCAGGAGAAGGATCAGCGTTTCATCTGTGTGAGAAGAAAAAAAGTTATTTCTTCAGGAGTGGAGAGATCTGCCCTTTAGCCAGAAATACCTCATTCAAGTTCTGCTGTGTGTTTGTAGAAGGAGAGAAAACCAGCACTGATTGTTGGTTTGACACGAACGTCGAGCCTCACTCTGCACCACTTAATGAGGGGCTAGGCTCTCCTTGACCTTCTATTAGACCCCCCCCCCCCCACACACACACACGCACACACGCACACCATTCAGTGTGTAATATACAGCCCCCCACCTGCACTAAATGCTACGTCAGGGCTGACAGGCCTGTAGATGGAGCGATAACCCCCCACTCTGCTGCTCCTTCACTCTTTCCCATCTGTGTTTTTGTAGACAGACGGTACTTTCCTCAGTGCCATCTGCAGCATTAGAGCATGTTTCAGAAGGAATAAAACTGAATGGATGAACATGATGTCACAAATTGTACTTGATTTATTTCTACTAAATGTTTACATCCAGGCACTGGGTGTGTTTATGTCCATCTCAGGCCCAATCCCAATACTCTCACTGCACCCTACGGTCCTCTGTAGATTGCACTTGGAGGAAGTGCGCAGTAAGGCTTCAAGTGCATGGTACACAAGTGTGCAAACAATTGCCGAATTGAGACAGTGAGTGTTTGTCATCGACTGCAACGCGTGCCGGGATGCTAGTCGCTGTGCTACTTTTAAAAAAACCCTTTATTACCAACTTTCAAACAATTATATGAAAAAAAATTGCATTAATTGAAATGAAAAACAATTCAAAGCAGGAATCATTGGATGGAGAAACATGAAACCTAACCAGCAGATTGATAAAGCCTCGTAGAAACAAAGCAGCAACATTTTCCTCATGTTGTCTCCTGTAGAGGCTGCTTTCTTCCTTAACCCTCTGGAGGCAGGCGTTGCAGATTAGCAACATTAAAACTTACCCACCTGGTTACTCCACGTACGTATTTCATGAGCGTTTTTAAACTCAGAAGTACCCCTGAAGGACTTAGTTGTTCGTCCTTTTATCAGAACGTATTCTGAACCTGAGAGGGTTAAACAGGTCATTTACTTTGAAACAATTTTTTACTTATTAATTTTGAAAATGATCGGTCACTCAGAGTTTTTCATGCAGGCTGAACATGAAAATAGTCTCCTACACCTGCATTAGCTTCTGATTTCTAGTATTTGATAAGCCTGACAGATCTACATCACACTGTCACTTAACATTCATGGACTCACCCATCTTGACTCACTACGGGGAAGGCTTTTGTTGGTTTAGTATCCAGGAAACAGAAGAGAATGTCTCGGCTAGTAGAAGCTAACCGTTAGCATTAGCAACACTAGCACACGACATAACTCCTCTAGGCTTGTGTTATTTGTAGAGATAAAACATCAGTGTTGCAGAGCAAACAGAGTCAGTGGTAGTTGCGTTGCTGTTAGCCAGTCTGAGGCGAGATGTCCAAACATCAGGAAAGAAGAGTCCAAATCTTGTCGTCTGAAGCTCAACTTTGATCTGCCAATCTTCTAATAACTGAAATAGGCGCACCAGAGTTTTTTTTTCTCCATAGTACAACTTGCAAGGAATTCATTCCTACTGGAGACCACTGCCAATGTATTAAAAATATGAGTGAAGGACCTCTTTAATAAGGTTTGAGTTTGGGAGAGGGCCTTTAAACATAAAACCAAATTAATGTAAATTTAGGAAATTGTGGTCCATATTGACATGATAGCATCACGCTGTTTCTGCAGATTGGTCGGCTGCACATCCATGATTCAAATCTCCCATTCCACCACATCCCAAAGGAGCTCTATTGGATTTAGATCTGGTGGGTGAGGAGGCCATTTGAGTACAGTGAACTCATTGTCATGCTCAAGTAAACCAGTCTGAGATGATTGGAATTTTATGACATGGAGCAGTATCCTGCTGGGAGTAGCCATCAGAAGATGGGTACACTGTGGTCATAAAGGGATGGACATGGTCAGCAACAATACTCACGTAGGCTGTAGAGTTGCAACGATGATCAATTTGTACTAAGAGGCCCAAAGTGAAAGGAAATCTCCCCCAAACCATTACACGACCACCACCAGCCTGAACCGCTGATAAAAGGCAGGATGAATCCATGCTTTCATGTTGTTGACGCCAAATTTTGATCCTACCATCTGAATGTTTCAGCAGAAGTCAAGACTCATCAGACCAGGCAACGTTTTTCCAATCTTCTATTGTCGAATTTTAGTGAGCCTGTGTAAACTGTAGTCTCAGTTTCCTGTTCTTAGCTGTCAGGAGCAACACCTGGTCTGGTCTTGTGCAGCTGTAGCTCAGCAGCTTCAAGGTTCGACGTGTTGTGCATTCAGATATGCTCTTCGGCATACCTTGGGGCGACGGTGCCACAGGAGTTAAGGGCTCGTCCCGTAATGGGAAGGTTGCAGGTTCGAGCCCCGCTCAGTCTGTCGCTGTCGTTGTCCTTGGGCAAGACACTTAACCCACCTTGCCTGCTGGTGGTGGTCGGAGGGACCGGTGGCGCCAGTGCTCGGCAGCCTCGCCTCTGTCAGTGCGCCCCAGGGCAGCTGTGGCTACATTGTAGCTCATCCCCACCAGGGTGTGAATGTGTGTGTGAATGGGTGAATGACTGATTGTGTTGTAAAGCACCTTGGGGGGTTCCAGGACTCTAGAAGGCGCTATATCAAATACAGGCCATTTTACCATTTTGGTTATAACGAGTGGTTATTTAAGTTACTGTTGCCTTTCTATCAGCTCAAACCAGTCTAGCCGTTCTCCTTGGACCTCTGGCATCAACGAGGCATTTTCGCCCACAGAACTGCCGCTCACAGGTTTTTTTTCCTTTTCTCTGTAAACCCTACAGATGGCTGTGCGTGATAATCCCTGATCAGCAGTTTCTGAATTACTCAGACCAGCCTGTCTGATAGCACCAACAACCGTGCTACATTCAAAGTCGCTTAAATCACCTTCCTTCCCCATTCTGAAGCTCAGTTTGAACTGGAGAGGATCGTCTTGACCATGTCAACATGCCTAAATGCATCGAGTTGCCACCGTGTGATTGGCTGATTAGTAATTTGCATTAACAAACAGTTGGACAGGTGTACCCAATAAAGTGTGTGTGTGTGTGTGTGTGTGTGTGTGTGTGTGTGTGTGTGTGTGTGTGTGTGTGTGTGTGTGTGTGTGTGTGTGTGTGTGTGTGTGTGTGTGTGTGTGTGTGTGTGTGTGTGTGTGTGTGTGTGTGTGTGTGTGTGTGTGTGTGTGTGTGTGTGTGTGTGTGTGTGTGTGTGTGTGTGTGTGTGTGTGTGTGTGTGTGTGTGTGTGTGTGTGTGTGTGTGTGTGTGTGTGTGTGTGTGTGTGTGTGTGTGTGTGTGTGTGTGTGTGTGTGTGTGTGTGTGTGATGAATAAAAGTGTTTTATGCATAAAGAGTTGAGGAAGAGCTCCCTGCTGCAGATGTTCTAACAGCAGACAGCTTGTTCACACACTAATCTTCCTCCTCCTCATCTCTTTTTGAGCAGCTAGGTGCCAACAGCGGCGTGCACATCATCATATTCGATGAGATCGATGCGATCTGTAAGCAGCGTGGCAGCATGGCGGGCAGCACGGGTGTCCATGACACAGTGGTCAACCAGCTGCTGTCCAAGATCGACGGCGTTGAGCAGCTCAATAACATCTTAGTCATAGGTGAGAACACTTTCTCTCTGGGTTTAGAGATGGTAACACATACGTTCAAACTCTGTAGACATGAACACCTGCACTTTATCTCATCTGTCAGTCACCCGGTTCCCATGTTTATCTCTTGCGTCCTCCTCAGGTATGACCAACAGGCCTGACCTGATAGATGAGGCCCTGTTGAGGCCAGGAAGACTGGAGGTGAAGATGGAGATCGGTAAGAACACACAGATAAGATCTCACAGCTCTGTTTATCTCAAGTGGTTTATCTCAGCCGGGTGGATGGGTGAATTTAAATCATGGTAATCATAACACGAAGAGCTTAAAATTGATGGTCTAATATTCTGAATATGTGTCTGTGTTCCTGCTTTAATTACAGGTGAATGTTGAAATAAATGAAATGAGCTCATTTTACCCATTATCGTATTCATTTTCTGACTCACAGAAGCTGAACATAAAAATTTCCAGATGCTTTGAATGACTTATTTAGAGAGAAACATTGTCTGAGTGGAAAGACAAAAACAAAGCTTCAGTTATATTGAATAGCATCCTACTGGGAACATGGTTCCCCGAAAGAGGACGTTGGCTTTTATTCCATTTTACGTAGACTGTCCGGCCGTTTTCCCAACGCCTCAGCTGAGACCCTGAGATACTTGAACTTGAGCTAGGACTTCTTGTTTACTGAATGTTCAAACCCAGTACTGTTTGTCAGCTTCCACTAATATGACATTTCTAACGTTAATAAAAAAAAAATTCACACCCAAAATCCCAGCTTGGGTCTCTGGAAAAAGGAAAAAGTGCCTTTGTAGGCATTTTCAGTAAGGATGCATGAGTGGCTGTTTGTAGTAATACTGCTATAATACTAAAAGCAGTGAACCACAAGCTGATCAAGCAGTGCACTGACGTCCAACATGTTCCATCTGAAAAACCAAACCTGCATGTTTGAGTTCAGGTGGTAAAATGTCCTTTAGCAACCCCATCAGCATTAGAAGCATTAGCATTGGGCTGCAGAACAGAATAAACGGTAGACTTCCTCTCACAGACTTTTCAAGGTTTTCACTGCTTCTCCTTCAAGGGTTGCCAGATGAGAAGGGTCGCATTCAGATCCTCAACATCCACACAGCCAAGATGAGACAACACAGCCTGCTGGCCGGTGACGTGGACATAAAGGAGCTCGCTGTGGAGACTAAGAACTACAGTGGTGCTGAGCTGGAGGGTCTGGTCAGGGCGGCACAGTCCACCGCCATGAACAGACACATCAAGGTCGGAATCCTCATCTTCACACAGTTTACACTTAATCCTCTTAATAAAAGGAGTTACGGGTTATTTAGGATATTAATCACCACAGCTGGTTTGTGGATGGATGCAAAAACTAGGTTGGCTGTCATTTGGCCCCCTGAGTGAAATGTTTTATCAGGTGCAGTCCCAAGTTCTCCATATAAGCGGGAGTTCTCATCTTAAATGCTCTGCCCCTTCCCCACAATGGACCTGGAGCAAAACACACACACACACACACACACACACACACACACACACACACACGCACGCACGCAGCAGCAGCAGATATTGGAGGGTGATGATAAATGACATACAAGGCCTGTACAAACGTCTGATCGTTGACGTTCATCTTCCCTCCTATGAACTCTTTCCTCCCTCTCTCTGTTTGACCTTTCTGCTCCAAGAAGGAACATCATCTTCTGACACTCAACCTAGATGTGTTTAGATTTATCTAGCAGGGGGTGATGTTGTTTCATCAGTAACAGAAGTATTTTCTGATCTCTTGTAGGCCAGCAACACGGTGGAAGTGGACATTCAGACAGCAGAGAAGCTGCAGGTCAGCAGGCTGGACTTCATCGCTTCTCTGAATAACGATATCAAACCGGTGAGTTTCTGTGCGTCTCTTTGTTTCGATTTGAGTCACAGTGGGACAGGAAGTCCCTGAACCAACTGGACTCTATAATAGACCACAAGCCCCTCCCACTTCATGTGTCCTTATAGAGACAGAGAAGCTCTTCCTCCAATAGCTCAGCTGAGACTAGTAAAGCTTCAGGACACATTTCACATTATTCTCCTTTTGAATTACAATTTACAAAGTTCATGTCTAACAACTAGAAACATGAGGAAAGCAATGATTGAATTGACTGAAAAGGTAAAAGCAGCTATCTGTATAGAGCTGGGGTGTCTAAGCTTTTCAAAATGAGGGCCAAAACTCTCGTCCTCATGGACCACGGAACTGGGGTTGTCTTATAAAGTATCAGTCTACATAAACAGCCTGCTAGAGACACAATTCTGGTTATGATAGAGCAGATGATGCAGAACTTGAACAGAAAGTTTCTGTTTTCTTTCTGACTCATTTGATTTAAAAACAAAAGAGGAGGTTGATGTTTTGCCTCCTTCTCCTCCAGGCATTTGGAACCAACCAGGAGGATTATGCCAGCTACATCATGAACGGTATAATCCGGTGGGGCGACCCGGTGTCGGTGGTCCTGGAGGACGGAGAGCTGCTGGTTCAGCAGACGAAGAACAGCGACCGCACGCCACTAGTGTCTGTGCTTCTAGAAGGTAGCGCCATGACGTCACACAATGCAGTGACCCCATCACTGAAGTTTACCAAAGAGATGCTGGTTGATCTTCTCCCCCAGGCCCACCGGGCAGCGGGAAAACCGCGCTGGCTGCAAAGATTGCTGAAGATTCTCAGTTTCCTTTCATCAAGATCTGCTCTCCAGACAAGATGATCGGACACTCGGAGATTGCAAAGTGCCAAGCGATCAAAAAGGTAACCAGGTTTAAAGTTTGGACAGAAGGAAGTTCTTGTCTAATTCATAAGTTGAACATGATATCATTGTCTGAAACAAGAGTTGAGTTAGATTTGACTCCCACCTCCCACCTCCGGCACCTCGATCGGACCCTCCTCTCCAGTACCTTGGAGTAGACCTTTCCAGGGAGGCTGAGGAGTGTGATCCCCCTATAGTTGGAACACACCCTCAGGTCACCCTTCTTAAAGATGTTTTTGTTTCTCAAATGAAAACAGAAAATCTTAAAGGTGCATTATGTAGGAATGAAGTAAAAATGACATCCTGTGGAACAATTTGGTTACTGTAACCACTTTAAACAACTCTGGAGCTTTTTGTCAGATGTCATCAAATTACCATTGTTGACACTGCAGTACCAGCTCACAGGAGACACGGCACCCCCACACTCACCGTTGGTAAACCGTAGTTACGTCCCTTCTACCTTTGTTTAGAAAGGAGAAAAACTGACAATCCTCACATCAGTTGGATATGAAACATGTTTCCGTAACCTTCCTTCCAAAATGACTGAAATGTTAGACTTTTTTTTCTCACTGTAAAATTCTCACTATATTCTTACATACTGCACCTTTAATGTGAGACTCTGAAAACGGTTTTTATAGGTCCTATATCATGTAAAATCCACTTAGGAACATGCTTTATTGATATTTCCTCATGAAAAACGCATCCAAAGCACTTTTTGGCTTCACACGTGGATTTTTCTGTCTCAACTCAATAGTGCCAACGGTAATATTTTATCATATATTGTTCCTAATGCAGGGCTGCACAGTGGAGCAGTGGTTGGTTAGCACTGTTGCCTTGCAGCAGGAAGGTCCTGGGTTTGAATCCTGGCCTGGGGTCTTTCTGCACGGAGTTCGAATGTTCTCCCTGTACATGCGTGGGTTCTCTCCGGGTACTCTGGCTTCCTCCCACCGTCCAAAAATATGACTGTCAGGTTGATTGGTCTGTCTAAATTGTCCTTAGGTGTGAGTGTGTGTGCTTGATTGTTTGTTCTGTGTGTCTCTGTGTTGCCCTGCGATGGCCTGCAACCTGTCCAGGGTGTACCCCGCCTATTTCTCCAGAGAATGTTTGAGATAGGCACCAGCCCCCCCCCCCCCCCACACACACACACACACACAACCCTGCGTGGATGAGCGGGCAAAGACATTAGATGGATGTTCCTAATGCTGTGGAAGGTGTAAGATATCATGATACAGGTCCTTTTAAAACGGGACTGAGCCTTACCTAAAAGATGTAAACTGTGCTCTTATTGGTCGATCTTGCCTGAAACCTTCTCACCAGCCAATAGCAACTCATGCTACTTTCTTAAGTTTGATTCAGCAGCTTTTATCTCTGATTTTATATTAAAGAAAAAAATAATAACTCTACTGATAAAGAAACAAGAACAATACTTTCAAAGGTGAAGGGTGCTACAGCTGCAACCTAATCTAACTTCAGTCAGTAGGGTCTAATAGTCTTAAATTGATTTAAGGAACATTAATATCTTTAAAAAGTCTTTAATCGATTTAGTCTAGTCTTAAATTTGGTTAGTATTCACATGAATTTAAAATATGCTTGACTCATAGTTGTCACCTTTTTCCCACCCTCAGAGTTTGCAGGTTTGAAAAATAGATGCATGTAAACTAATAAACCGATTTTCTGTTCTCCTATTCCACCTGTTTCCTTGTGTTTCCGTACCACGCAACTTTACCTACCATTGCTACAGCCTTGCTGTCCCGATGTGACGTATCCCACCAATTGATGAAGTGGAAACGGAAGCAATGTTGTATTTAAATAAAATATATAAATGCTTAAGAGTTGATTAGTTCATCGTGATAAAGTCTTCAGTTTATTTTATAGGGTCTTAAAAAATCTCAAAGGTCTTAAATTTCACTTGGTGAATGCTGCATACCCTGTTAACTGAGTGAATATTTTGTTTTTCATCAACAGATTTTTGAAGACGCCTACAAATCCCAGCTGAGCTGTGTGGTTGTGGACGACATAGAGCGCTTGCTGGGTAACAACCTTAGTTTTGATCATAAAACACGAGAGTTAAATTGACTTCACATGCCTGAATTAGAAACTTCCTCTTTCCTCAGATTATGTCCCAATCGGACCTCGTTTCTCCAACCTGGTGCTACAAGCGCTGCTGGTGCTGCTGAAGAAACCTCCTCCGAAGGTAGAAACCTTTTGTTTGTGGTGCTGTGAGTCCAGCGGTGGCAGAAAGGGGGCAGCAGATCTTATGGCTGCCAGCAGCAAGTCTAACCACGAATAGTCGGAGTTCTTTGGCTGCAGCTTCCTGTGTGCATGTGTGTGTGCGTGCATGTGTGTGTGTGTGGTTATTAGTGAGTGTTTAGCTCCAGGTCCGTTGTGTTCTGAGTGAATGGTGGCGATAGAGACCCATTTCTCATAGTCCCTTTGGTTGTAGTTTGTGTGTGCCTGTTGTTGTTTGTGAATGAGGGTAGAACCCACCGAATGGCTGCTTGAGAAGTGGCGCGGGGCCGGGTGCTGAATGCCTGGCTGCAGTGATCCTCCGAGGTTGTAAAGCGCTGAGCCCAGCAGGGTGCCTGGGGCCGAGGGAGGCCGGGGGGACACGGAGGAGAAAGGGCTCTGTGAGAGAGCCAGGACCTGGCAGCGCCGCCGCCTGTGTGGCACCTCATCTACATGCAGCATCACAACCCCCCACGCCATGGGGGGGGAAGCCGGCAGCCATAATCCCCCTGTCTGCTCACCACTCCTCTGAATCTCTTCCCTCGTTGTCTTCTGCTGGTCGTCCTCCAAGTTGTCGGCTTAGCGGGGCTACGGTTCTTTCACTTCTCTTTTGTCTTCTTTCCTCGTGTTTGTCCTCTCTGCTGTTGTCTTCTGTTCTGCTACGCTGTATTCTTCTCTTTTCTTTGGTTTCTCAGGCATTTCTTGTAACCCAGCCCCTGAACAATGGCGGCCTTCATCAGAGAAGTCCCAAATCGTAGTTATGAGACAAAACTGGCAAAATCTCACCTTGTCGGACGTCATAGTTTCATTCTTTAAAAAAATATCAGTGGCCTGGTCTTTAAAGTCTCATAGACGTCTCACTGGAACTAAAGAGGAGGTCACACAGGAAGTAAACGCCTTCCAAGTGACAAGACAAGGCCAAACTCGTGATAATTCCCACTACTCCATGTTTGTATGAAAGTCGGAGTAAAGCGAGTCTTTTTTTCCCGTTCCAGAGTCGTAAGCTGCTGATCATCGGCACCACGAGTCGGAAAGACGTCCTCCAGGAAATGGAGATGTTGGACGCGTTCAGCACCACCGTCAACATCCCCAACATCTCTGAGGGAGAACAGCTCATGGAGGCGCTGGAGGTAAAAAAGAAAACTCACACAGAACTTCTTTTATACCTCAAATGCTCTGTTGGCTGATCTCCACAGATACACTCATTATTTATATCTTATATGGAGATCCTTGTTTTCTTCTGCCTCTCACAGCTGCTGGGCTCGTTCCAGGACAAAGAGCGTTTGAGCATAGCTAAAGCTGTTAAAGGTCAAAGGTTGTTCATCGGGATTAAAAAGCTGCTCATGCTGATTGAAATGGCTGCACAGGTAAAACACACATTTTATATCCACGGCTGTTATTATCAAACATCCTCAGCCTTTATCCACACAGAACAGCTAACTTAATAAAATCTGCCGCTAAGAAACAACACTTTAAAAAAACATGAATTCATGCAGTTAAAAACAAACAAATGAGATGTTCTTTCACCTTGTGGGATTTTTAACGCTGTCAACTAAAAACATGAAGTTTATTCATCACGAAGCAAATAATATTACCTTTTAAAAATAAAAACAAACCCAATAACTCAAAATCTCCTGGTTTCTATTGAGATAAGAAATGTTGAGGTGTTGTGTCTAAAACCAGAGAGCCCTGTCCCTCCTCTTCCTCCACATCTGGTCACCATTCCCAGCAGTCATTCTGTCAGGGACAAAAAGCTGTCACCTCCTGGCTGGAATGAAGAAAGCGTGTGGCTTTAGGGATGATTTGTCGAGCAGAAGGATTCCAGCGCATCTCTAGTCTTCGGCTGTCCTCCAAGCTGTAAGGACCAGTGTGTTCAGCCTCATGGAACCGTGTTCCGGGCCGGTCCCAAGTTACATCTGCGTGTTTGGAATCACAGGAGCAATGTCACCAAATCCAGAGGTTATCTGCTTGCTTTAGACTGGAAGAAAGAAGGATTGTCAAGTCAACGCTGAAATTCAAAGAGTCTTGAGTCTTTTGATTCTGTTGCTTAGTCGACTATGTTGAGTTGAAAGTCACGGCGGTAACAGCGATGAGTTATAAGCTAAGAGTTTGGGAGTAACTGTGTGAAAAACACAAATTGTTCACTGGGTTGTGTTTTCAGTGACCTCCAGGTAGAAGAACATGACTGGAACGATGTTATGGTTCTTGTCCCAGTTCTGTCAGATGCTAAATGCCAGGTTGTTAATGTCAGAACAGTTATTTTGTGTTTTAGGTATCCTAAAATATTTGTTGTTTTTGGCGTAGGTCACCGTGGTTAATATGTGAGGATCCTGTTGTTGGAAGCACAAACCGCCATGATTCACAATGTAGCTGTCCCGTCCTACAGCTCTTTAACTCTCAACATCCACCTTACCTTTTCTTCTTTTCTCCACTTTAGTTTATTCAAATCTGTTTTAATTCCACTAAGAAGTTCCCGCTCTGTTTCAGATGGATCCAGACCTCAGAGTCAGTAAGTTCCTGAGCCTACTGAAGGATGAAAGAGCGTAAGTAGTCGCTTCCTTTGTCTGTGACACTGAACATGCATGCATCAATTTTAGCCATCTTATTTTGCCAAAGCATCAGAGACACATGTATACATTTGATCACTGTAGTGGGATTAATCACATCCATGTTCTATGTTTCCTGTAGTCTGAGTCCTCATCTACTATAATCTGGACCCAGCGGAGCCACATGGTGAAAATCCGGTAAGGCTGCACAGCTTTTATTAGGGAGGTGTACAGATGTGGCACCAAATTAGACTGATTAACTGCAGATGTGAGCCTGAAACTGAATTCTCACTACAAAAACTGTAAGCAGAAGGTCACAATAATTCATAAAACATGGTATAAAGATCTTGAGATAATACAAACATTTTTTTCCTTTTATTTAGAGTTTATACATTCTTACACGTTCATGAAGTTTAATAAACGGCAAAGTTTCTGAAAGTTCTCACTTGTTCCTTTAAACACCTCCTTTGAGGACCGGCTGTCCAGGGTGACAGACAATGAGAGGCAACTTTTATTCTTGCTGCAGGAGTTTTGCTTCTCATCGCAGCCTCAGAGACTTATGGTATAGCTGTCGTGCCTAAAAATAGGTCGACTAGACAGGTGCTCTCTTGTGGCAGCGCGTTCTCTGCCTTTTCTCACTTTTATTCGTCTCTTTTCGCTCAGCCTCTGAGGAACGGAAGCCTGAAAGAGGCTGGCAGGAATCCTTCCCTGAAGCTCTCTGCAGCTCTGCTTTGTGGTGCAGAAACCAACCAGGCCTGCCTTCTCCTCCTCAGCACTACACGCACATGTAGGATCAGAGACGTGCTTGTGTCGATGACTAATCTGTGATGTCCCCAGCGCTCCTTTGGGATTTTATTTAGATATGTTTAAAGAAAACGAGTCTGGGCAAACAATGCACTTCCACACTGCAACATGCTTACTCAAACACTATAGAAGATGTTTTATCTGGATGCACAGACGTGTAATCTCATCATTCCTTGACATGACTTGGTGTTCATCCTGTGCTCTTGCTTTTGTCTGATCTTTTATTATAATAAATAATACATAATTAAATTTGTTGCCAACAAGAAACTTTGTTATGTTGGAAATTATTGTTCAAACCATCATACATCAGACTTGGTATTAAATGGATATTTTGGACATTTTGAAGTCTTTTTCTGTATAAATGCTATAAATAATAACAGACTTATAATATTTTGCTTTATGTGGAGGGAAATTGAGTTAATTTCTGACAGGATTTTAGTTCCATAATAAGAGGGCAGCAGTACGCTTTGGTCCTGCTTGGCTGCATACAAACTTGTCTTGTATGCTAAATATTTAATTTAAAATAATTTAATTACATATAGGCCTCAAAACTGCTCTGATCCTGGACCAGCCCCCAAACCAGCTGTTAGCTGATTTAGCCTACTTCATATTTTAGCAATTATAAATCATGTTTTTCACCACTGATTTCAACACTTCTACATATGTAATTTTTTTGGACAAATAAACTTTCATATAATTGAAAGTTTGCTGCGTGGACTCCCTTTATGGACTTTTAGACCAACTGGTAACAAATAGGAGCTCAGGCCAGCGCATGAAGTTATTGACATTTAGTAGAAAACAACATTTTGCTTCTTTTAAATAAATAAAAAAACTTGCTTAAGTTCATAACCGGTAGTTTTAAAAACATAAGCTCATTAAATTATAAAATAGTTTGTTTAATTATGGCAATTTGCCTCCTAATTAGGAGTGATGTTGGTGGTTAACCTCCATGTCCTCTGGGTTTAACGGCTTAAAAAAATCAGTAAATGATTTGCTGAGCAGCATCGTCTGTGGGAAAGTTATTATTTGCCGCAGGTTACTAGATCTACATGTTTTTGTTTATGCAGCCAAATAATGTTTCATTTGCTGAATCTAGAAATTATGCCGTTAAATCTGACTATGGCAATTACACAAAGAAAACAAATAACTTGCGTTGCACTTTGTTTAAAACAATCATCAGTTAAATTACACAAAGGGATAATCAAATCAGGCATAGTCCTGTTATAGATGTCTATAATTAAAGAGTACATTTAAAAGCTAATTTGTTTCAAACTATTTTTACGTCAGAAATGTTGTGATTCTCTCTTATGTCTGGTTTTATTCTAAATAAAATGGCTGTGTTGATCATGATTGGAGGGCAACAAATGAATTAGGTCTTTATCTAATTAGCTGCAGTGCATTATGGGTAAACTTTGGTATAATATGTTCAAAGAATCTGGTTCCAGAACTCTGGTGATTGGTTCAGGTTGTGCTTTCTTTTATTTTTTATTGTCATTTATTTTTTGGGGTGAACTTGTTGGGACATCCATTCTTGGAAAGAACTTTTAACCTACTTTTGTTGAGTAAAAATAAATCACAAGTCGTTTGAGGTTTTATTCTGTCTTTATAAGATCCATTAAAGGTTGTCAACAAAGTTTCCGCATTTTAAAGTTTTTCCTGAGATTATCAAAAAGTGGATTCTGTTCAAATGTATTAGTAGGGCTGTTTGATTTAGGCTTTTTTGCCAATACTGTAGCTGATATAAAGATTTTGTCTAACTCTTACAACTGATGCCATTATAAACCAATATAAATATATGTGGGGTCCCCCCAGTAAAAATAGAAAAGCTCAATCGTTTTGGGCAGCTAAAATCTCATATTTCCTATCATGCATAATTAAACTTTAAACATTATCTGTGCAAAATCTGACAACTACTCCAAAATAATTTAGGCCAGTTGTGCCAAGCAAGCAAAAATATCTCAAACACTAAACCTTAAATCTGTCATATTTTGTCATTTTGAGTGAGAGAAGTAGATAAAGAATATTAAAAGAATAAAAACTGATGCTGATAAATTCCTACATTACATTTTAATGCCAATATCAGCCAAAATAGCACGAAAAATTTCATAGTTCAACTCCTCAGTTTAAAGAGCAAGTCACCCCCAAATCAACTTTTTTCTGATAAACTGTATAAATGAGTGTCTAATCATGCTGCAGACATGTGTAGTCAATAGTTTTGCACTTTAGTGCATTTTAGTTAAAATTTTAATTTTCTGCCTAAAACAGTCAGTGTTGTGCCGTTGTCAGGTAAAAACACTGCACTGCATTTGAATTTAAATCTGCCATCGCTATTGGCTAAGAGGTACCCTAGAACGTTAGCTGGTACCATATGATGTCACAATGTCGTTGTGAGCCTCTGTGTGTGTGTGTGTGTGTGTGTGTGTGTATTTGTTAGCGGCTCCGCCCTTTCGGTCTGCTAGGCAACAGCATTTGTTGTGTTTTTCAAACAGTAAGTGGGAGTGGAGTATTACTCTGGTAGGGGGTGACTTGCTCTTTAATTCTTACTGGCATTATCCTGGTAAACAATAACACCAATGCAATACTCAGTTTGAGTTCAATTCCTGTGCAATACCAGATTTACATAGTATGTCTGTGTCCCTTACAGTTTGCTGCGTAGTTCTGGAAACACAAGTTTCATTTTTATCTGTGGTTTTTATTGGTCGAAGGTTACAATAATAGCTCACTGCCTGTATGTATTTACACCTTTATTATTTTTTCTTCAAATTACTCTCAAGTGTCGGTGCTGCTGTAACAAGTGAATTTCCCCACTGTGGGATCAATAAAGTCTATTCTATTCTATTCTGTCACCTTAACCAGGCTCTTAAATAGAAGCAGGTCTTTTTTCCCAAGAAAATAACTGACAACCATTAGAAAAGTGAAGACATGAAGGTGTAATAAAATCAGGAGGCAAGTTTTGTTCTTCAAATATATAATCTTAGTTCAGTCATACAGATATATACATTGTATAATAAATAATATTTATAAAAACATAACATTTGCGATTATAAAATAAAAAGGGAATTATTCAATTTAAAACATTTGTACAAAACTTTGGATATAGCAGGGAAAATGGGGGTTTGGATGCTGAAAGATGTGGTAGATGACAGAAATGCTAAGTCATGTCACAAGGAGAGAGCCGCCTGCGCGCTACGGGGTAAACAGTGGGTCTGTTGTCCGACACAACGAGAAGGAAGCAGGTGAGAGTTGGTCCTATGAACCCACATCTCAGAAGCAACCAGAACTGGAAGTCTTTTCCTTCTGCAAATTCCAGCTTTTTTCCCCCTCAGTGATTTGTAAACCACTTAAACAATCAGACATCCATGCCTCTGCTGAAATTCCCCAACCAAGCTGCTCCAAAACAGTAAGGCGGGCGTGTTTTAGGGTGTAGAGACGAGAACACAAGTTCATAAATCAGGCTTCTCGAATACTTCAGCTGAGGGGGAAAACATGAAGGAATGAAGGAGAGATGAGACATCCAATCGGAGGCTTTGCTGCTTCGTGGTCTCCACATGTCATCACATGTCCCCCTTCTTTTTCTTAAAAAAAAAAAGATTTATTTTTAGACTTAGGTGTGTTTTCTCAGAAGATCAGCACTATTATTAGACATGCTAAAGCTTGACTCAAGAACGATGCATAAATCTGCAGAGATCACGAGCTGTTTCACAGGACGATTGAAGGAAATATGCAGGGATTATTTTTAACCTTCAGAAATTAACTGAATAGTGCATACACATACGTGTGTGGGGTTGTTAGTCAGAGGAATGAGCCTCCTGCATACCTCCTGTCCCATCCCAGTGGTAATAATTCAGAAATGCGAGGCTATAAAAATTTCACACCGAAGCGTATACCTTCCAGTTGACTTGTGCAGTCGAGTCAGTCAGAAAAGTAAAGACAAAGAGCCACACTGAGGAGTCGATCAGCTCAGTAGTTTACAAAAACAGGACATCCTGCTGGATTTTCAGTTCAGTAGTTACAACGTGATGGTTTCTCTGAAGCTGCTGGTGTGTTTGGCTTCACTTCACGTACAGAAGTTGGTTTGGATTCAATAAAAAAGGAACAAAAACAGCTTGAGTGGCTGGAGGAATGAGGTGTTAGAAGATGCTTTTGACTTGAAAGCAAAGAGTTTTACTGCATTAATCCCACAGGAAAGAAGTGTTATTAGACATGGCACAAACATGTAGCTGGCATGGACGGGGGAAATAAATAAAGACACAGGGGCGAGGAGAAAAGTGGTTCGGACCGAGTTTAGTGCAGGTTTAAGGTGGGGAAGGTTCTGTCTGATGTGGAAGTAGAGCCTGAGATTGACTGGATTACATAGTGGGACACTGTGTGTGTGTGTGTTTGGGGAAGCAGGGAAGTCGTGCAGGAGTTGGAGGGGAACAGGTTTAAAGGTCCAGCAGTCAGTTTGATTTTATTTGCACGTGTGTACGTCATACACACGCACGCACTCCTGGCAGCTGACGTAGCAGCACCAGTGGAAGATGCAGTGGCACTTCTCTTTGCGCTTTTCAGTCCGAGTGTTGTGGCCACGGCCACAGCACAGCAAGTCACAGCCCTCGATGCCATGCGACGACACATTGCAGACACGGTCACGCGTCCCGAAGGAGCCAGTCTCCGAGTTGGGCTCACAGAAATTAGGCGAGCCTTCGTAATAAACCAGGTCACGCTCAGTGGGGTGCTTGAAGAAGGCGTACTTGACTCGTAGGGTCTCCACCCAGCCTCGAGACTCGCGGTGCTTCTCCACCACCATTTCCGAGGCGCTGTCGTACTTATCCTTTAGATAGTCGCCCAGCATGCGGAAGTCTGGCTGTGCCCACCAACACGTCTTTACCTCGCAGCTTCCTGAGAGGCCATGACACTTACAGCGCAGATGCATGTGGTCCAGGATGGTCTGTGAAACACAAAGACTCATTAGGAACAAAGTTAGGATTTAAATTGTATGTTAAAAATATCCCCTTGCCAGGATGTTGGTAGATTTAACATAAGCATTTGTTATGGTCGCCCACAATAATCTTTCATCTCTGTTGGAAGCTTGTGTTTGTCTTAAAGCTACGGTTGTCAAATGGTTTTGTTCCTACTTGTCTGACAGAACCTGTTATGTAAATATGAGCTGTTTCAGTTCTGATGACGCCTTTCTAAGTTGTGGTGTGCCCCAAGGTTCTATTGTGGGTCCTGCTCATTTCTCTTTATATGCTACCCCTGGGATCCACTTTTCAAAAAATATAATATGTCATTTCATTGCTTTGCAGATGATCTTCAAATCTATCTACCTTTACGAGTTGGAGCTGACTCAGTCTGTTATTAAAATGTCTCAGCCCTAAACTTTCTCAAATTAATGACAGCAAAATGGAAGTTCTCATGTTTAGCAGTTCATGTATCCGGGACACGTCTGATTGTTTTCTGGGCCCTTTTCTTCCTATTATAAGATGGTTGCCAAAAATCCTGGGGTATTTATGTTGTATTTATTTATATTGATTGTGATTTTAAGTTGTCCAGGCAAGTCAATGCAGTTTTTCAGTCAGGCTTTTTTCATCTTAGGCTGGGCAGCTAGCTAAGTTTAAGCCTTGTCTCCTCGTTAAAGTCTTTGAGCAAGCTATCCACCTGTTCATCTCCTGTAGATGGGGCTATTGCAACTTTTTATATGTTGGCTTGGATCAGTCTACTGTGCACCATCTCCATTTGGTCATGGCTCATGGACTACCAAGATCAACACAACAGCAGCCTTGCCTAAGACGCTGTTGTAGGTGCACGTGGCGCAGTTGTTAGCACTGTTGCCTCGCAGCAAGAAGGTTGCAGGTTCGAAACTTGGCTGCGGCCTTTCTGCGTGGAGTTGCGTGTTCTCCCCATGCATGCGTGGGTTTCCTCCGGGTACTCCGGTTTCCCCTACAGATCACAACATGCCCTATAAGTTAAAAATTGTACGTCGCTTTGGATAAAAGCGTCTGCCAAATAAATAAACATAAACATAAACATAGTCGGAGCAGGTGTGGGCGGACCTTTGCTAAAACAAATTTCATTTCGGAATATAAATTCAGGCTGACAAAATAACTCGTTGTTCAGACAAGTGACATCTCAATAGTGCCAACAGTAATATTTGTGCCTACCTTTGCTCTCAAATATTTAAAATGGCATGATCTGGCATCTTTAATGGTCTTGCCCCAGTGTGCTTGTGTGAATTATTGTTGAATTAATTTCCTAAAACTCCTGAGATCAAGCACACACGCCTTCTTCAAGCATTTTTCAGTGATTCCAAGGACAAAACTTAAGTCTCCTAGTGAAAGTTATTTTTTCTGTGGCCAGTTCTAGACTGCGGATGGTCTTCTTTGCAATGTTGGATCTGCTAAAACCTTAAAATGCTTCAGAAAATTTATTTTTACGGTTCAAGTTTGAACTACATTTATACATTTATCTGTTTTAACCATGTTTTAATGTTTTAAATAACAGATTTCTTTGTTTTCGTCTATCTGTCTCTCACCAAGCACTGTATATACGTATGATTGTATTTTACTATGTGAAGGACTTTGGGCAGCAGCTGCTGTAGTAAATGTGCAAAATGTTTAAAGTTGACCATGACTATTTTATTCAGTTCAATTCAGATCCTTTTTATTTTTTATGGAGACTGCATAATAATTAAAAATAAAAAAAGGACTTATTTTTGTAATTTGTATTAAGAAAATTTCTGCTTTTTCATTTACAATTTAAGGGCATTTACCATGCATGTGTAAAGGTTTATAAAAACGCATGAAGTCTGTGGAAATGAGGCAACTAGAGCTGTTTTAAAGTGTCTGCATAACTGATGTGTTTACAATGTACTTATTACATTTCCGTATCCAATTTACTCGTTAAAAAGACCCCCCCCCCCCCCCCCCAAAATCAACAAAATCATATCTTAAATTAAATCCTCCTTATAGGTATTTTCTTAAAGGCATATCTCTGGAGCTGGGAGGTGGAGAAAGAGTAATTGTTGCCCTTTGGGCTTTAAGATTCCTAAAAACTCAGACGTTGATGGAAATTGATGAATGAGGCAGATTTTACATCCTGTAAAAGGAGTCTATCTGAAATAGTGTGATCATACTCTGTTTTCTGAATGGGTTACAGTTTTATAGGTTTGAGTTTACAGGTGATCAAGACTTAAAAACATTTTTTTAAAGTCACTGCGGCTGTTACGTTGTAGTTTTCTGCAGCTGTGAAGCCCAGATGCTCGGTTCTGCTGCTGATGATTCTCTCTGAAGTCATTCCTTCTCAGCTCGCTCCCTCAGGGTGTATTTCACCTTTGTTTTGATTTTTGTTGTGCAATTCATCAGATGCATTTAGCAGCTGAATCCCCCCAGCTGGGGTGGGACGCAGATGGTTAAACGTTTTTCTTTTTTTTGGGGGGGGGGGGGGGGGGGGGGGGCAAGATGGACTAGTGACATCACAATGTGAGCCTGTCACACTGAGAAAGTCCTGAGGCCTTGGGGCTAAATAAGGGAGCGTGAGAGGTGCAGGTGGAGGTTAGTGCTGCTCTGTGGTCCCTCTGACTGTGATCAAAGGGTCGTCTTGTTGCCGTGTGGTCCTTCAATCACCCCCCCAGCCCCAGGTCTGTTCTCCCCCAGCGGTGACAGCAGTTGGTGATGTTTTAAGTCTGATACTCCCCCCCCCCCTCCCAGCTCACACAGGTTATTTGACTGTTGGGGAATTTTTTATTGGGATGCAGAGCATGAAAGGCAAGGTTCTGTTTAGATGTGTAATTAAGCAGTCATTCAAAATCAAGAGATCATCTACAGCTGGAAACCCAGAAATGTGCAGACAAGTCAAATACCAAATCCCTGCCCATCACATGAACACGTAGTCATCCGTGGTTTACCACAGCATTTACCTGAGACAGAGTAAAAGAAAATCACGGCTGCTGATACTTGATTAAAACTTAAAACTTTAAGACATGAAAACATGATTCAACAATCCAGTAATTACATAACTTTTTGCTGTGTTTCGGTTTAAAAAATAATGTTTACAAATTAAAAGTTTGACATTTCATTTGTTTCAAATCCATCAATAAAATGTTATTTTTCTAAGAAAAACCTGTAGTGACAGTGACCTATTAGCAAAAACACAAGCCCATAAAATAAATGTGGGCTTTTAAAAAATGTGGATGTCAGGAGTTCAAAAATCTTTAAAGGGACTTTTCGGACTTTTGAATTTTTATGCTCGCGATTGCCCCCTCAGGCCAAAAGCGTAACGGCAGCTTCAATAGTAGGCTCGGGCACAAGGCGCGCATGCTGTACGTGCACACTCCTTAACGAAAATAACAGCTGAGACAGTCCCGTGTGTGTGTGTGGCCCGGAGGACAGAGGACAGGAGAACATGCAGCTAATTAATTAAATAATTTTGTTCTGTACCTTTCTCTTCAGCACAGCCGACAAAGGTTTAAGATGGGTCAGTCCTCCTGCATGCTCAGATCATTCCCTTCCCTTGCTTGAAAAATTGTTCCAAAATGAAATATGAACCCACATCTTTTTTATCTGTGAATTCAATGCTGTTCGGCGAGTCTCAAATAAAAATTTGGGCATCTTACTGTAAAAAAAACCATACCATTGATGTAAAAAAGAAACTAAATAAACTATGTTCACATCCAGAATCGAACCCAGGTGTTCAGCATGGGAGTCAGACATCTTACAAGGTGAGCTACACACCAGCAACAATTTTAATATCTGTAACCCCGGGTTTCCACGGGAGCCGTCAGCAGCATGTTACTGCAGCAGCACGTCTTGCTCGCGTAAGCTGCTGCTTGGCCCTTCCCACGAGACGCGAATCAGCAGGGGAGCAACTGTCACCGACAGAGCACGAAGTCACACGAGTGACTTCGTCAGTAAACACAACAACAAGCAGGAGAAAACTACAACATGACTCCAAAATATTTGTGTTTTTATGTTCTGTCCGTTTTATAATCGCCAATACGGACCTGAAAAACAAAGGAGACCGCTAGCTAGGTGATAACTTCTCACGGGGCCGCACAGTTAGTAACCTTTTTTAAAGTAAAGCGACCGGAAGGCAGTACGTTCTTTATTCTGAAAATCTCGGGAGCTTCTCTCCATTTCCGCGTCTGATTTCCTGTCTTTCCTTCCCCAAAAATGTCGAACTTGACCCGTTTCAGAGGCGTCGCGCGTAGGAAATAGAACCGGCGCGTAAAGGCCGCGACATGCTGCTCCTGAGACGCGGCCGACTCGCGCTGCTGCCGGCTGCCGACGGCTCCAGTGGAAAAGGTTCTGTTGACCACAGCGGTTCCTATCAGCAGCTATGACGTGCTGCTGCAGTAACGTGCTGCTGACGGCTCCCGTGGAAAGCCGGGGTAACTTTCATATCCTTGATGACAGCTGAAACAATGTCAAACCAAAGAACGGTTCGGAGCGAAAATGGCTATTTTGTTGCTAATTTGCAGGAAATATCTAGAAGGAAGTAGCTAAGGGTCCTCAGGAATGTAGCTAGGTTTGTCACTAGGCGTTAGGAACAGCAACAAAGTCGCAGAGTTGGCACTACTTCTCTCTCTGCTGCTAAAGCTACGGATAGCAAATGCTACGGGCTATGCCTGAGCGTGAACGCGCATGAAGCAGCCTGCTCGACCCGAGCTGCTCTCTTTTTCTGTGATTTTTACAGAAAAACAGGCGATCACAGTAAAAATGGCAGGGCTCATTCTACAGGACCAGGGCATTGCAGGAGAATGTATGAAGAAGAAATTAATTATTTCTATACATGTTTTGGCTGTCAAACTTCCATAATGCCCCTTTAAATGAAAAAAATGTAAATACACTTTTGTTAAAATATTTATATTTTCATGTATCTGAAAAGTATGTGACAGGGTGAGCATCCTGTCTCTGTATCCTAACTGATCATGCATCCTGGCTACTTGGCCACAGGATATCCCTTTGGCTTACTGGTTGCATGCAGAGTCTGGAGATCAAATCCCACCCGGGCTCTCATTTCTCCACCTTGCCACAAATAGAAGTTCAGACTTTAAATAAGTAAATAAATTATTAGACTTTTTAAACTTGGTATAGACAGAAAAAAAGAAGAAAGGTATAAGTTATGTTTTGGGTGCTAACGGAAGTCCAGCTATTTTAACTTCAACTTACAAATACCAAAGTGGCACCAACACCACAGAGCATTGATACCAGGGCCTTGTGAGCATCTATCCAGCATGTTTAGTTGTTTTTGTTGTCCAACACACCTGAATTTAATCAGTAGGTAATTAACAGGCCCTAGCAGGCTTGTTGACCTGCTGAACAGATCTTTTAACCATTGAATCAGGTGTGTTGGAGTAGAGAAACAACAAAAACGCGGTGGATAGCAGCTGGGACCAAAGTTAGATATCACTGTTTAAGTAGATTGTTACAAATTCTCATCAAACTACTTCTAGCCTTAAATCATCCACATGAAATATCAGGTTTAGTATTTTCATTATAAACCTGCCATATCCTGTCCTGGACATGTCTGGTGCCTTCTGGTGGAGGATCTGCAGATGGCAGGAGCCAGTTTTAATTCTTTATTGATGTTATTTTAGCAGATTATATCTCACTGTTAGTGAAGCCAGCTGGTTAATCTCCAAATGATTCCATCTCTCAACGCCTGTTGAAATAAGTAGTTTCCACTATAGCCCCCTGTGTTTTGCATAATGTGAATGGAAGTTTGGTAAATGGGGTGGTGCCGGTAAGTTTTAAACATGCTGTTGTTCAGCCAGTAACAAAGAAGTCTGGCCTTGCTTCAACTGATTCTTCAAACGTCTGTCCAATTTCTGAGCTTCCTTTGCTGTCTAAAATCAGGGGAAATGTGTTTTTAATCAGTTTAAAGCATTCCTGGATGTGCATGAGATTCCTGAGGATTTCCAGTCTTACTTGGATATTCGTTTAATCAATACTTTTGCAGTGGTCTGTTGTAGAAATGAATGTCTTATAAGTTGTATTCTGTTGGGAAAAAAAGCCCTGCTGCACCGTTGTCAGGAAATGGCAGAAGAGGAGAGCTTCAGATGACAGGTTTTAGAATCTTCTTTCCTCATATTTGGATATCTTGCTTCTGATTGGATAACATCAACGTGACTCTACCACAGAATCTGCTTTGCAAATTTGATGTTTTATCTTCACAAATAACTTAAATCTGCAGGAGTTCTGCTATATTGTGCAATCGTTAATGCTAACTGTTAGCTTCTGCGGTTTCCTGAATGCTAAACCAATTACAGCCTTTCCCATTGAGTCTAAATGGATGAGTTTGTGATCATTAAGTGACAGGGTGGTGTAGATATGTCAGGCTTTTCAAATGCTTGAGAATAATCATCACAGCACAGTGTTGGCATTGCTGAGGGTTACAAATTATATTTTGCTGTCTTCTGACTCTGGACATACTGTGGTCTTGGTGCTCTTGGACTTGATCGCAGCGTCAGATATAGTGGATCATGAAGTCCTCTTGTGTTGCCTGGAGCCTACAGTCAGTATTTTGGTAGTTGCTTTGGAATGGTTTTGATTCTATTTCACTATTAGTAGTTTTTGTGTTTGGGTTGATGACTTGATTTCCTCCATAGCTCCCATGCCATGTGGTGTCCCATAGGGGTCAATCCTCGGGCCACTCTTGTTCTCCCAGTACCTGCTTCTACCTGGGCCTATTTTTCGAAGGTTTGGGGTGTCTTTTCACTGATACACTAATGATTGCCACATCTATGTGCCCTTTAGCTGTGAGAATAACGTCTGTGCAGCTAAACTATGGAACGCCTAACTGCAGTTAAATCCTGGATGCCTGCAAACTTCCTGCATTTCAATGACAAAAAAAAGTTCTGCAAAGTGGGCCTAGGGATGCAGGTAGTAATAGTTTTCTTAACCTGGGACTATTAACCCAATTTGTTCAAGTGACAATGTGTAGTTTTTACCATTATTCTCTGACAACATTATTCTCTGGATGATTTAGGTATGTACTGCCCCCATCACCAGGGAAAATACACATAGTCACTTAAAGCCCACAGTGTCTAATCTGGGTGTGAAAATGAATGGAAATTTAAATTTGATAAACATGTGCTGTGGTGACGATTAGTTTCTTTCATTTGAGGCAACTAGCCAAGATAAAATCTTCTGATCAAGGCATGAGTAAACTTAAGATTGTTCTGTCGTTGGAGGATCACCCTCTCCACCATGTTTTAAAGGATCTCAGGAGCTCTTTTAGTGGACGAATGTTAATGCCCCATTGTTCCACTGAATGTTTTAGAACCCCTTTTATTCCTGCTGCAGTGCGTTTTTACAACGACCATTTGGTATGATCTCATATTGGATGTTTTGATCATGGTTGTGGTTTATAGCAGAGTCCAGTGATTGTGATTTCTTTGTTTTTGTCTGTTTGTTGTTGTTTATGTCCATGGCAACTCAATTTCCCCATGGGGATTAATGAAGCCAACCTTAACCTTATCACTTTGAAAATCTGATTCATGCCTTTGTGACGACTAGGCTAGACAACTGTAACGCTCTGTCCGCGGGCATTAGCCAGTCCCTGCTTACGCCTCTGCAGCTGATTCAGACTGCTGCAGCAGTGACACAGAAGCATGAACATATGTCACCGGTTCTATCTGCTCTTCATTGGCACCTGGTCCGTTATCAAATAGATTGTAAAATTATTTTCTTTGTTTTTAAGTTCCTAAATGGTTTTGCCCTTTGCTATCTGTTGGAACTGCTGTCACACGCCACTTTGTGTCGCTAGATTGGCTCAGTGTGGCTTCCTCTTAGTGTAAAACAAGCTGATCTGCTTATGGTGTTTAAATCTTGCCTAAAGACTCGCCTATTCCCCCTTCAGTTTAAAACTATTAATTTTACTATAAATATTGTGTGCCACCTAATAGTTTCTTTCTCATTTATATATGCATTTTAATATACTGCACTTTCGTTTACCTTGCTGTTTTTAATCAGTGTTTTATAAATAAACACGATTTGGATTTAAAGCCTGCTGTGTTCAGGTGGATCACTAAGGTTGGTGGTAACAGAATACAGGCAGCACTAAGTCTGTTTACCGTGCGTCCTGCCTCGTTGTTGTGACGGTTCATTGCTGAGCGTGCGTCCGGTCGGTTTTCTCTGGCGTCTGCGAACTCCCTGGACACCAGCACCCCGAACTCGGCATCCTCACTGCAGCCTCCCCACTTCCACCCCTCACCGGGGGGTCCCTTGTGGTGTGAGTCGCAGCCACACATGGTGGACGTCCCCTCGGCGCATGAGCGGGTCACTGCAAACGCTACACCTGCTGACGCGATGGCGTGGACGAATGCCGACTCTCTTGTTGCTGAATGAGAAAGACAGAAAGGCAGGGGAGAGAAGAAGACGTAGGAGGACGTTAGTCTGGTAGGGATATGGACAAAGAGGTCTGCTGATGTTCAGACAGATGCACCAGAGAGGAGACCCTCAGGCTGTAACCTTTTAACATCTCAGCTTTGATGACACATATTTAGACGCAGGTATTTGACTCAGTGACTATACCCCCCCCTCCCCCCCCCCTCCCCCCCCCACACACACACATATATATACACACACACACACACACACACACATGTTGTTTACAGTATTTATTAGGATCATTGTGGAAGATTCCCTGCCTTTTGGGGTGTCAGGTGGGACAAAAATGTTGTCTTCACCCCTGCCATCACCCTACCCCCACCCTGTTCCGTCCTTGCTCAGAGCCCCCAAAAGCCCTCCGGTGAGATCCAGCATCGTCTGAGGGATGGGGTTACTCCTCTTCTGAAGGCAACTGCTTATTATGTAACCAGACACCATTGTTTCACAATCACAGCACACTTACCAAGGCATGCTCATCACACATCCCTAGAAAACACCCACAGCCTCAAACGGCCTTCAGTGGTCTGGGTTTTTCTCATCACTTGCAATAAATGGGATTGGACTTTTCCGTGATTGGAGGAATAAACTTGAACTTTGCACACCAGGTTCACAGCAAGGATAATATCAGAACTCGATCAGAAATCTTTCCCTAAATCATCTTTCTCTGAAAACTAGAACAGATTTCCCAGCATGCCACACACTTTCTTAAATGTTGAAAATGTAATTATGGTTTCAGTTTTATTCGCAGTTGAAGTATTATTAACAAATTGAAATATTCGTGTGCTGAAGGAAAATTTGCTGCAGTTTTAAGTTGGAAGTGAGCCAGGTAATGGAAGAGAGGGGTTTAAATACTGGTCAGTTCCACTATAATCTGTGCCATGACAACACATTTACTCGAGTGTAAAAGGCAGAAACAGGTTTTTAAATGTGGTGTGAACAAAATTGCCAACTGTAAATATTGATGGGGATGAATCTGATCGCCACTGAATCAAAACACCACATAGCCAGATAGTTTGCTTTGGTTTCTCCACATTTAATGCTTTGTCTGTAATCCTGGAAGAAGAATTCAAAGCTCGCTAAACTCAGCCATTTTCTTCATGTCTGGTTCGATGACATCAATATGGTGGGACACATTTGTAGTCCTACACGTCTTTTCACACAAAACCTAAAATAACTGTTGCCTCTGTTTGAAAACAATCCCTTTCTTGAACTCGGGTGTTCTCCTGTGGTCCCTGATCATAAAGGTAGAGGTCTCCGAGTGAGCCTGCATGTCAGAGTGGAAGGCATTGGTGCATAGACGGGCAGTGTGAGCAGTTCAAGCTCTCCCGGTCAAATAAAAGGGAGAAGGGAGGGCAAATGAGATTACAGGCCACAGAAAAGGGCCGGGGGCTCTGCACAACCCCTACTGTGCATGAAGACCGCTCTGCTCCTCACAGTCCAGCTCCCACGGACACCCCATTCACACGCCCTTTTGACTCTGTCATGAAAACAGGCTGAAAGGGGATCTCACTCGACCCGTGAGGAAGAGGAAGGAAGTAAGAAGAAGAAGTAGAGAGTCACTTTAGGAGTGATGAATGGAAAAGCTGGAGAAGGAAAAGCTACCAGAGTATCGCCACCTTCAGCTATATGCCGGCGATGGAGGGTGCCTGAAGGAAATGTGGGATTAAGATGGGTGGTGGTGTATGGGATTTCAGCTTGGTGGAAAGGAGTGAGTAAAGGGGGAGGAGGAGGAGGTTTAGGGAATGCCAGCTCTGGGCAGAGTGGGGTTGTGGGGGCGCTGGTGGCTGGGCCCTTTGTGCGGGTAATACAGTGTGACACAAGGGAAACAAAGGCGGATTGATGGGCCCAGCAGGTAGCATGAGCAGCGCCGGGCTTGGTTAACAGCCAGAGTTCCAGGGGCCCAAAGCTCACAGGGGTCTGTTCTCTGAGGTCCGACTGGGTTTGCCAGGACAAGAGGGGATGTCCAACCCAAGGACAAAATGTCACCCAGTTATGTAAGGGTTAATCAGGGATTCAGGATCAACTTTCTCCTTTAACAAAATATAAAAACATAGAGGGCTTGAAGTTGAGCTGTAAATGAAGGGACGGCTCTACACGAAGAGCTAAATGTATTCAGATCTTCAGACACTAAACATCGCACAAAAATCAGTAGAAAAAAGGCTGGCAAATATCTGGATTTTTGTTTTCAGGAGTCACTTTTCACCATTTTAAAGCAATATATAACAACTACACAACTACACAATGACTTTACTTTTTTATGTTCTTTGTTTTCTAGTGGTTTTTTTGTCTTTCTAGTTGTTGAGTTTAATTTCTTTAGTGCTGCAGATCTTGAAATGCTGTTGTCATTTTTTATGCGCCATGTAAATGGTGATGGATGCTAGTTAGGGTGCTATAGACCAGCGGTACTCAATAAGCAACCCCCTCTTTGTAGCCCCCATACTACCAGCACCCCCCCCCCCCCACCCATTTTCTTCCAAAAAACACATTTATCATGGAAAATAATAAAAATATTTCGTCAACAAAATACAAAAAATAATTACATAAAAACACCACAATAAACACTCCAAAGTGTGAAAAAAACATCCATCTGTTTTCTATCTGGTGTTTGCTTTTAGGAATTACGTGCCTAAAACAAGCCATTTCAAAAAGTCTCCATTTGTGACATCACAATTAGCATTGAACCACCTCTTACATGGTGGAGAGCAGCTGCTGCTAAAGAAGCAGTGGCTGTTCTCTGAGCGCCTCCCACATATCAGAGCTTCTCATCTTATTGACCCTTTGCACGTGACGTCACACCACTCATGTGACCGCCCCCTTCGCCATGATGGATGGCAAAAAGACTGTTTACACCCGTAGAAACTCCAGTGAAGCCAGTTTGTAGCCTTTTATCGCTTTTATTTAGTCGATTTGACAGTAAAATGGTTTTAGCTTGCTGTGTGGTTGGCTGCACTAAAAGACAAGGACGTAAACTCAACTTGTTTTTTCTTTTTAATAACTTTGATGGAGACTGAGGACGGAGATGAATTGCAGCGATCAATCAAGCAGACCAGCAGGCCTCAGATTTGCAGCGAACATGTTTTTACCGGGTAAGATTAATGTTAATTTATTTCACGAGGAAGACAGGGACAGGAATAAATGTGATGTGTTTATACAAGTTATTGATAATCCTGATGGATGGGTATTTCACCACGGAGACTGCCCTCCGTCCACTGTAGTGTAAAGCGAGACAATTATTAACAATATTAAAGCTCCGATGTATGATTACGTGTTAAAATTACATTATTTATTTATATGAGCGTCGGCGTTCAGAGATCTTCTCATTCTGGTGTGAGAGCAGCAGCTGAACCTGGTAACACCACCAGCAACAGAAGCTGGTAGGGATCCGGACTTTTTAAAAATCAGCTTTGGTATAAAGTGAAATGCTGTTTACAACATAAAGTTATAAATCCAGAGGGGTGAATTTAGGCAAAGTCAACAACATGTTTACATCGGTGAACAGCTGCAGAGAGAACGTAAGCTAACGTTGGTAAGCTAGTTAACATACCGCTCTCTATGAGCCCCCGCTAGATGCGCTACTTCTGATAACTGAACTGGGTATGAAATAGTTGAAGAAATGCCGGAGGAGTTTTGTTTTTGTTTTGATCGCAAAAACAATTTCAGGCTCTATTTTTCCCTTTGTTTAGTAATCGTGTCGCTCACTGTTAACATGCTTGGTGGACCCACGTGATTAGGTGACGTCGGTGAAAAAGGTTAATAGCAGCCTAAGTGGGGGATGAGTGGGCGTGGTCAGCTCCAGCTTGTTTTCTTAAAGTGACAGAGCCCTGAAACGGCCCAGGGGTCTCATTTATCAAACATTGCGTGGAATCCTTACTAAAACTGCACTTGAGCTAAGCAAAAAAAAAAAAAAAAGTACTTACGCCAAGTAGGTTTGTGATCTATCAAACATGGAGTACGCACAACTGCACACAGTCCCCGCTTCATAAATCGGAGACTAACACGAATGTTTCTCAGCTGCATTTTAGTCACATCCCGCCCTCACCACGCCCACTTACTGCCATAAATTGTCAATCCAAAGTGCCTTGTGGATCTCATGCATATACATAAGCCGGCTTTTGCAGCGCTCCGCCAATGACATGGCGACCGTAGATCAAGGCAGATCAAGGATGCTCAATTTCACAGAAGCAGAAATTGAGGTACCTGTGGGTGAGGTGGAGAAATGAAAGGAAGTGCTTTTGCAAAACAAATAAGAGAAAATCCACAGAGTGGCACAGTGTGGCTGAAGCCGTCAATGTTGTGAATTCTTCAGAGATCTGTGGCGGATATAAAAAAAATGGTCCAATCGGGATTCGATCCCCAGACTCCCAGGCGAAAGACGCGCGCTAACCAGTCAGCCAAACAGAGATCTCCCCTGTACAAGTAGCCGGGGCGCGTGATCAGGGTCACAGGGTCACAGTGACAGGACACACACTGTCACAGACACATGACATTCTGTCTCAGTCTGTCCCCCTGCTGATATTCTGCATTCCGTATTCTGCGCTTCAGGCTGTGTGTGTGTGAGTGTACGCGCATTTGTGTGTACGCTTGCGTGTGGGGGGTCTTGTTCTGTGTGAAAATGAAGCAGTACAAGTGATAATGCTGCAGGATTTCATAATTTTATCCTCAGCAGCAGCACTGCAGGTGCTCTCCATGTCCAAAATGTGCGTAAGCCAGGTCCTTAGTCAACTTAAAGTTGCACACATTTTTCTGCTAAGTTTTCTTTCCTAAATCCCAAAGTTTGCGTGGAAAGTTGCTTACACAGTTTTCCGACCCTGTTTTGTGCGTAAGCAAGCTTGATAAATGAGGCCCCAGGTTCTTTCAGTCTTGAATGAAAGAACTTCATAAATATCATTGCGAGCAGCTGTAAATTTTATAATTGTTTCCCAGAGATGTTAGTGGTAAACAACAAGAAACAAAATATAATCTTAATAATGCTGTTTAACATGTCAAATGCTTGTGCCAACCAAAGCCAAAAGGGCTGGGGCAGAGCACAAGGGCACAGATATTCAGATGTGGTGATCTGGTTTATCATGGTTGATCTTCATTGACAAGCCTAAAAAATGTTGTTGCAGCTAAACGTTAAATATGTGGAAGGGTTTAGGATTGTGGTTTCAAATGAAACCTAAGGGGAAATGAAGCATATGCTAAACAAATCTACCTTTATCTAGTACTGGTCCAAAGATAGCCAGGTTGTCCTTGATGGTGGTGCAGTTCCATCTGCGCCCTCTAAACTGGTGCTGACATTCCTGGATCCCCAGTTTGACGCCTTCAGCGACACTGGGCATAATCTCAATGTAGTTTCGACAGAATCTCAGTTGTTTGGGTACCAATCCGGGGATGGAACCACAGAGAATGGGTTGGGATCCCAGAGAGGAGTACTGCTGCCCCAGGGCCAGGGACCTGAGTCACAAGGAGGAGAGGCTTCGTTACAGCAGACCATTTCTGGCTTCACTGCAAATACTTAAATATGCTGGATTAAGGTTAAGGTAGCTGTGATGTAGGATGTATAAATTCTAAAATATACAACATCAAGAAAATTTATGACTTGCAACAACAAATCTGTCTTGTTGTGATTATCTGATCTCATGTGCCTCTGTAGGAGCTGGTAACTGAGTCTCATTCTGCTACGAAGGAAAATGAAAACTTAGATCCTCATTGCTAATTATGTGTTTGGAAAAAAAGGGATCAGCTTGTTTGATTCATTCAAGAATCAGTTTAATACCAAGAATTCTGGATAAAGTTGACAAGATGTAGGGAAAAAGATAAAAAGAGTAAATTTTGTTTAAATCTTCAGTGACCTTTAACTTAAGCATCCCCATCAAACTTCTATTTGTACGTAAAACATTTAATGCAAAAGTCCAGTCCAATTCAGTTCAGTCCAGTTGTTGCACATCTCAGCTGCTCGACGTAAACCATTCAAAGTGCTGACATATCACACAAGATCTTAAAATTTGGTGTTAAAATCACACAAGGTAATTTGTCTATCTCCAAATCTGTTGAGTTGTCAAGGAAACGAGGAATAAAATTACTTTAATTTGGAGTTTTTTTTGTCAATTATCCTTTGTGACTCACTAAACCAGTTAGCATTTGGCTGAAAGTTAGACATGCAAAGAAAAAACAGTCTTATTTAATCCTCCACTGCAAATTAAAGGGGGCATATTTAGACTATTTTTAAGTTATAGTAGTTTTGTGGTCGATTATTGTCAATTTATAAATCCCTCTCACATAAAACAATTTCAGCAGTTTCCTTGACCGTTTCGGTACCTTCTAGAATGAGCCATTACAGGGCTCTGCCACTTTGAGAGAAACAGCTGGAGCTGGCCACACCTACCCACCCCACTCAGGCTTCTATAAGCTGAGAAGCTCCAATATCTGGAAGAGGGTCAAAGTGGAGCTGCTGCTCCTCCAGCAGCAGCTCTCTCTTGCATGTGAGAGGTGGTTCGATGCTAATTTCCTCATTAATTACATCACAAACGGGGACTATATAAAACTGCTTGTTTCAGGCCCAAAATTTCTAAAACCAAACACTGATAAAAAAAACAGTGAGACAGTTTGTTTTTTCATGCTTGGAGTGTTTATAGAGGCAGCAGAGACCCACAATGGCATAACAAAAGGATGCAAAAGGTTAATTTTCTTAATATGTCCCCTTTAAATGTCCTTATGCTAGTCTGAAGTTAAAGAAAGTTGGATTATAATAATCATGATGATGTTGATAGTAATATTAATAATAATAATGATAATTATTAATAACTTATTGATCCCCTTGGCGAAACAGTTCTCTACATTTGACCCATTGGTAAGGAGCAGCGGGCTGCAATCTGTATCACACCCAGGGGACAACTTGAGGGTCCTTGCTGCTAAATCTTTTCTTCATTGTATGAGCTTATTACAAATTAAGTACTGTTGTACTATATGGTCATTTGCTGGTATCACTGCCCTTAAACCTTTAGAACAGCTATATAAAAAGGTAATTGAGTTTTTTTTGGCGAAAAACTAAACAAAACCCTGTTCATCTCCTTATTGTCCAATTTAAGGAAAATATAACCTTTTGAGTTTAGAAAACTTCCAAAGTTTTAAATATGCTTGCATTGTATATAACAGTGTTTCACAACCCTGGTCCTGAGGGCATACTGTCATACATGTTTTCAATGTCTCTGCTTCAGCACAGCTGCTTCACACTGGCTCTTCAGGAGGACTGCTGCAGATGCCTGTTAAGCACTCATGTATTTAAGTCAGGTGTGTGGCAGCAGGGAAACACTGGTGTTTAAAAGGGCAACATGGAAAACATGCAGGACAGTGTGCCCTGAGGACCAGGGTTGGGAAACACTGGTTTATAAATCTTTTCATGGCTTGGCCCCTCCCCCTTTAGAGGAATTTACTAAACAAAAATAAATAAATAAATAAATAATCAGCACTATTGCGACCAGATCAGCCATTAGAGGAGACTGAGGTTCCTTTTAGAACAACCACCATGGGACAAAATTCCATCGTTTTGATAGGGTGTTCAACCTGGAAGTGTATTCCGATTTTAATTCGAATAACATAAAACATTAAATAAAACAGAGGGCAATAAAGAAAATCAACGGCACCAAACAGAGATCCACAAGGGAAACCCAAAATTAAACACCAATTTTTTCACCTGAATGTATTTTAAGTACATTTTTACTCTGAAGCACACTACAAATAAGTTAGTAAAAAATCTGTTTCAGTTCAGTCTGTATTGATGATAGAAAAACACTTGACATTAATGAAGATGTGAGATTTTTCAAACATTGTGCAAATTCTAAAAATGACCTCCAACTATAGTGAAATCAGGACTAAATCCAGAAACACATAATTGGAACCTCCTTGAAGGAGGATTAAAATACAAACCTGGAATTTTCAAGACACATACAAAGCATCTGTATGTTGAGACCGTAAAATGTAAATTACAATCTCGCTTTATGAACAGGCAGACAGACATCCATTTTAAAAGTCTAGCTCCTTGTAGTGAAATGCAGAAATACAAGCTGTTAGCACAAACTTTACAAACATGTTTCCCTGTTATCACAGACAAATCTGTTCATCTAACAGATAAAAACCTGACTGATTGGTTTTGGAAAAGCCCCCTTCCTGCAGACTAAACCATATAAAGCACCTGTCTCTGCTGTCTCATGGTTTTTCTGTGGTTTTCTGTTTGAGCTGATGTTGCAACAACAACCACGCATGCTGCTGACTTGTTTTTGTGTTTAGCTGGTAACAGACACAAATGTCACATCTACAGTATGAGCAAGATGTGCTTAAATGGGAATGATCGCTGTATGAGACGGACAAGATGATGCCTGAAACTATTACAGTTTCATTCAGGCAATTAATTTTAATTGCTTTGAAGTTCTCAAAATAAAAGAGACAGAAAACTTGTTTGCCACCCACGTGTTTTAACATGCTCAAACAGAACTGTGCAGGTTCTTCCTGAAGCTCAATCATCGAACGAGTCACTCTCAGATTTCTTTCATGTGCATTTTGAGTTAAAATTGCGTAAACATGATGCTACGACCATGCTTATCAGAGGTTGGGTCAGGGTCGTCTGGAGTCTCCATACCAGGGGATCAGACCAGAGCGGTACTCTGGAATAGGGCTGCAACAAACGATTATTTGGATAATCGATTAATCGGATGGGGTCTCGACACGATTAATCGATTAATCGGATCACATGGGGAAATTTTTTAAAACTGCTAGGGAAACGTTATTTCTCTCCTTCCTTCACTTTATTTAACACAACATTATTAGAAAACAGTTCAATAGCAGAAAAACAACATGCCATCACCTAAATTGTCTTATAAGGTGTATAGACAGAGACCCTAAGCTACATCTATCTGTGACCTAAAATGCTTGGTCCAAGTTAAACAGCTTAAGGGCAATTCTCATCTGTTTTGTTTGATCTCATCTGTTAATATTTATTTTAAATGTAATTAAACATAGGCTGTGAATTAATCAAAATTGATCACTATTTCCAAAACTGACTGAAAAAATACCAAATAAAACAAAAGTAAATGAATGCCATCCTCCTTGCGATGATGCCCTGGGCAACTGCCATAAAGTCACATCAAGAAATGCTGCTGATCATTCCAATGATCCCAAATAGACTCACATTAGGCCACATGAAAGCAACTGAACCCAAAAATATATTAACCAGTATATAACTGCACTCTCACACAACACGCCTGCAGCAACAGTTAGGACTCCTCCCTCCCTTTTAAAAGCGTTTTTGCTTCTGAGGACATTGTGGTTGTAAAACCACATGCTAGTAGTCTGGCCCCGGTGTGATCAACCAGTTTCTGCGGGAATGTGACGGCGGAACCAGGGCCAGATTAACACTTTGTTGTACCCTGGGCAACAATATTCAAGGGCTCCATCATCACGACCCGAGGATCACCATAATGTGGTCACATACAGAATATTTTACTGTAATATGCAGTAAATATACTCAATACTTGAATGCCTGACAACACGTAACCCGCCCAGAGTAACCTTTGAACCACCTCGTGTGGACTGACCAATGAGGAGAGGGTCTTAACTTGAGGCCCTCTCTTCATTGGTCAGTCTGCATGAGACTGACTCTCAACTGACATTCAGTCGTAGGCAGCGAAGCGTCTCTGTGCAGCGCAAAAGCCCGGGTGGACAGTTTGTTTAATATAGGGTGACCATATTTCCATTTCCAAACAAGAGGACAGGGGATCTGTGCCTATGATGTCACACTATGGTAACGCCACACAAACCATGTTGGGACCCATTTTTTGTAAGAACTAAATTAATATCAGATTCTGCCAATTAAAGGGCTCTAAAACTATTCATATGTAAATATTTTGCATATTTAATGCAAAATCTAATTTTTCTGCTTTAGTGCTGCAACAAGGTTTTATTAATAATAAATTATTATACCTTTTGTTTTACTACAGCATCGGTAAGCTTCCTGTGCACAGATTATTAAGGATGCTTGTTTCAGCTGTGAGATTAGACGATAGGATCAATGAAAAAATAAGTTGTCACACACTCCATGGAAACTTTCAGAGAATCCACAAATAGTGGCTTTCAAATGGTTTTGTTACTTTTTGCAAGTTTTTAAAAGAAGCAGATGAGACAGCATGTCTGATAATTTAGTTTTTCATCTGATAATATTAGAACATGTCAGTAATGTCTGAGGGGCTTTTATAAACACCATATAACTAACACTCCTGGAGAGGGCATGAATTACACAGAGGCTTCTGGGGAGCCCAGTTATGGGGGGGGGGGGGGGGGGGGGGTCATTTTGCCTTGGCCCCAAAATGTCTTGAAACGGCCCTGGGTGTGTGACTGAGTTTTGAAGGTGATCTGAATTGTATCAGGTGTATAAATATGACATGTGTATAACTTATTGTTTT